ACCCTGAATTTCCTGGTTAGATTCTAAGCATTTAGGGGAAAGGATATGCATTATATGTTCACACAGAGAATAAAACAACAGCTCCCTCCCACATCACAGAAGAGTGATAATGTATACAAACAGTAATACATCTGGAAATTAGTTTTAAGATTAAGGATTAACAATAATTAGCATCATGTTGCCTCCTTTGTTGATACCTAAGGGTGAGTTGTCTACTTCCAACTGATCTATGATACATCAAAAATTCCAAATATAGTATCACATGTATTTGAAACATATATGAAAGAATCTCTTGGAGACTCTGCTTAAGCTTCTCATTTCATCTAAGTCTTACAAGGCCATCCATCCCACTGTACTCTCACTGGCTTCTTTGCAGAGACTCTTCACAGTTGAAACTCAGCAAAGAACATCTACAGAGATTAAGGGGAAAAGTGCTCAGGTTACTAACCATTTCTTTTATGCTTGCAGGAGAAGAATGGTCAATATGGAAATGGTCTGTCAAGGCAGACACTTAAAAAATAATTTGCTGGAAGCAGACCCTTAACATAATCATTAACTTGCCTTCTGTGTGAGGAAATTTATGATAATATTTTTTGTCTTAGTTCTTGCAAAGCAGAAATTATTGCAAAGTGATTAAAAACCAAAAGTTATTGTCATTCACTTTGTAATGTTAAAAAATTGGCAGACACTGCAGACTAGGTTGATCCCTCAGCTATGCAGATCAGTTTTGTCCATGTGCAGTAGGTGCAATTCTGCTGCAAATCTACTGTCAATGAAACTGAAACTAGTGAAAACCACTTTGTGATGATTAAAAAAAAAAAAAGGGAAACTTGGAGCATGGATTAGGCTTCTGAACCACTGAGCCACAACTTTAACTTTTTATTTTTATACCAAATGTCACTTAATTGAACACATCACTACACAATACACTACTCACAAGGGAGCTACCAGATATGTTTGAAGGACCTCGGAAATTCAAAGGAAGATTTTAGGAACCTTTCTTCCATCTCAATTCCATGAAGAGCGGTTTTCATTTTGGTCTCTGAATTTAACTCTGTTATATATGCCCACGTACATGCTAAAGATTCAAGAACAAAATATTTTCTGTAAAGATTTTCTGAAAAATTTTATTGAGGCAATTTTCTTAAATTTCTATTTGTATATATTAATTCATATATATCTATAATTCAAAGAGCTAAACAGTTGTCTAAGGCACTTGGAACTGTGCACAAGCAGAGTGTCCTATAGTAGTGTACAACTGAGCAGCATGCTTTTTTTTTCTTGTTAATAAAAACAACATAAACCAAGCCTAATGTATATACTGTATAAAAATCCCAATACATATTTTATATTTTTCAGATGATATTGGAATATATTTGTGTGCATGTATATATATATATAAACTACATTACAGATAAAACCTCAAGAAGCACCTATCATTAATTTGTAATAATTCCAGTTACTTATATTCTCAGATATCAATACACCTGTGTAAAATGTAGTACCTTGCCCTGGCAAATTGCAGCTCTACCAAAGGCGTGCGTGTTCTTGAGTGCTCCGTGTTTAAGGTACAGTTGGGTCTACAAAGCATGGCATACTGGTAATGTCTTGATTTACTGTTTGAGCTATTCTGTAAAATGCTGGGAAGGGACACAATTTATTAGCTCCTGAGCATACAGCAATGTGATCTACAGCATTCTTGTGCCTCTATCAGATTTACAGTTTGGTTGTAAATGGAATTCTCTTTCTCTTTTGGGGGGGAGCGGGGGGGGAAGTCTTGAAAGCTATTTAAATGGTCACAGGCAATTAAGCATGTGGCATCTCCACACCCTTCTCACGTGACCACACAGTCAGATGCACATTCAAATAAGTCATTGATATATTTTTGTTTGAAATCACAACAGCTAAAATAATAATCCAAAACACAGTATTTCTTTAATTCCAAAATTTATGCAAGTTTACAAATCAATAAACCACCACACAGTCGTGAAAGAAAGAGAAGATTTGTTCAGCAACATTTTACTATATCATAACAATGTTCAAATATTGTTAAATTTGACATAGTATTGCAAGACTTTTAATATAAAGAATTAATGATTGAACAAGGAGATACAGGGAATACCATTACTTTCTTCAATTCTATTCAATGCAATATTTACCTCCAAAAAAATACTGGTGATATGCTGTATCTAGTTCATATGAGCTCTATTTTCATTAAAAACCTGAAACAAGGTGGGAACTGAAAAAGTGAAACAAGAACTAATTAATTATTAAAGTTAATAAATAGAAACATTACAGCAGAATATGTTCATTTCACTCCATTTCTCCCTGTCTCTCTGGAGATATACTTCCAAAAGTTTTGGTGGTGTTTTTTTTTTCCAGATTTCTGTTAAATTGAAGCTTTCAGCTATTCTGGGGAACTTTTTTTTTTTTTTAAATTTGATCCTCAAAATATTTTTGTATCAATCTAATAAAAGCTTTCAGAATTGCTTTTTCTATTCAAATCTAGGTCCCAGCAGTGAGCATCTCACTGAGCTTTGTACAGTAAGAGTACAGATAGAAACAATAATGGAACTAAATGTGGCCACTAAAGGCAGGAGGCAAGTTTATCCTTTTTTTTTTTTCACCCTGAGTATGTTTTTATTTCAGCTTGCAGCAGTGGCACAGGTCTTAACTCCTCAAGATATGACTGAAAAGAGATGATGTGAAAGCATTAAAAGGCGCAATTCAGGTGTGCCTGACAGTTTCATGCAAACATAGGCTTTTAGCTTGGTTTGCTTTATCATTAAAGCATTAACAGACATTAAGACATGGGTGGAGATTCTAGTCCCTGCTTAGGATGCTAGCAGTGCTCACACAGACCTGTCCTGCCAGGTAGCCAGGTGACAGCGTGGCTCTGCCTATCCTGACTCCAACCCCTGCCAGCTGCAGACGATGAGGGGATTTCAGCTGATTCCCAGGCTGCCAGATTAGATTAGACCTTTTCAGTCTGTGTTGAATGGATCTTCCTCCCACTTTATGATGTACAAAATTAGGGCCCAGATTAAATTTATAGTCAGGTTAAATGACTGCTGTTTTGAAACAAATTCTCTGGTGTAGCTGTGGTAGTACTTGTTACAGCTCTTGAGTTTGAAGCATTTCTGCAAGAAACAAAGCACTAATCTCACCTGGAAGAAGTGGTCTAATTTTTTAATATCAGGGATACTTTAATGCCTTTGTTTCACAGTTTTCGTTTCAAGTTAAAAATAAGAAGTGGTTACCTGATATGGCTTTTACATATCAACACTGAGACTGCGGCGCTTCTCTAAGAGGTACTCAGTGTGGCCAGAGCAGGTGGTGGGACTGCTCTGACACCACGTCAGAGGTCAGGAAAGGCCACCACAGCAAGGGACATGGACAACTGTAGGTAAATGATAAATCCAACAGATAAATGCAGTCTTGTAGAGCTACAAATGACCATGAATACTTTCAGTGATTTTGAAGAGATGGTGCTCCTGGTCCTAACATGTTTCAAATCACTGGTTGAAATGGTATTTAGCTTCAGCAATCATTAGCATTTAGTTTATTTTTTTTGTACTTGTTGAGTCAACATATATATCGCAATTTAAGAAAATTCATATAGACTGAATTTCAGTTAAAAAGACTAATATGTATTACCTGAAAGGAGAGAGACAAGAGACATTGCAGAACCATTTAAATTTTTTATATGAAGAAGAAATTAGGATTTGATTAAGCATCCATTCTTTTGCCCCCACAGCAACATGGTTTGATGCATGATTCTACTGATAAATGTAGATATATGAGGTCATTTCAGAAACCACTACTTCAAGCTACTCATTTTCTCATTGTGTGGCTGTAGACATCTGAGCTCATGTAACATTAGGTATGTGTAAGGTTTGTCATATGTAGTGGATGGCATTTAAATGATTTGTCCAGTTTGATAAAAATTAACATACTGCTCCCTATTAGCCAGCTGGACTGTACTATATGTTGCATAGAAAGTGTTATTTTTTCTTCGCCTTTTCAACATTATTTTTATTTTTTCCTCAAGGATTACTCATTAATTTCCCAGGACTTATCCTGATTTTTATCTTCTAACAGGCATGCGACCCCACAGACAAGTATATGGCGTATTATTTTTCCAATGGGCTGTTGATGCAACTTGATGACATTTGAAATCATCAATACAGAGTGCTAGGAGATGCAGCAGAAACAGACTTCAGGCAGCTCAATAAGGTAAAGCAAACTCGCTTCATTTCACATAGTGACATACCAAATTCTCATTTTTTATTGCACTTTCCAGCTGTTGTTTTTCTGCCAGTTGATCTTTAGAATATAAAAATAGTATATATAATTCTATGTCTGTGTGTGGGTATAATACACTATGGATAGTTTATAGTTCTAATTCTACAACTATACTACATTTTTACATAAGTTTCAATAAAGGCAAATCTTTTTGTCCAGTTACATAAATTTGCTTAATTAGTTTGCTGAATTGTGGGTCAAAGAATGTATCTGATTATCATCAAAATAATAAGACATTAAAAATTAACTCAGCATCTCCATTGAGGCTAGTTTTCCGCCTCTAGCAATGGCTTGTAGTGAATACTGTAAAAAACCCTCCAACCCCAGAAGGAGGATAGGAAAAGTCTAAGTGACACCTCACCTAAGTATCCTAATTTCTTATGACATAGTGCAGCTTGAAGAAGTCTAAACCAGAAGTTGTATCCTCACCTTTGTGTTTTAACTAATAAAGTGAAAAGGCAGCACATGACTTTCCATTCACACTGCAGGCCTAGAACAGAGGAATATCTTCTTCCAGAGTCAAATATTTCACTTCGTCCTAAGAGTTTAGCAAGTTTTACTTTGCTTGTGTAACCCCTATGCACCCTGGCATGTGAGTGGAGCTACTGTCTTATATAAATCATATATAGTCCAACCTTACCTTTGTCCAAGTTATTCTGCCTGTGCAACAGCTATCTTTCTGCCTTTAGTATCTTGGCTGCTTTCAAGTGTTTCGATATGATTAAGGCAACACTGAGGTCTATTTAATTGCCTCACTCATTTCCTTTGAAGTGAAATAATGTGTTTTATACTTCAAAGTCAGCATAGTAGACCTTTATATGGTTTTAGACACACATTTCTAAATTTGGCAACATCAGCCAAAAAAAAAAAAAAGTTTAAGCAGAACTATTCTAGTGTAAGTTTTAAGTTTATACTCATCAAATTCTAAAAATAAAAATTAGCATTGTACAAGAATTGCTGACAAACCTTAACTCTAATGGCTTGATAATTCCTGCATGATGTAGTGCCAAAGAATACATTTTCACTGCTTCCTTGATGTCAAAGTGGTGCTTCTATATTTATAAAATGATGGACCTCCCAGAAGCTAAATTGTTTTCTGCAAATGGAATCCTAGTGGTTCTTATTGATTCCATTAAAAAAGGAAGGTGCTGCTTGCTTTTCTTTGCTACAAGCATGTAGATGATTATTTTATTTGGTTATTGATATTTCGGGCCTTGTACCTCATTAGATTTTTTTACTAATATAGTAAGGGATCCTAATGTCATAAAAATCTTCTTTAAAAAAGGTTTGCCAATCTCTTTAAAAATAATAGAGTGACCACTGTTGGAATGCATTCTCCTCTTATTAGAAGTGCTCTTTGCTAAAATAATCCACCCCATTTATGCAAACCTGGTCTTGTTGTAAAATAGCACTGAAGAGGGATATCTAATTTTAGCCACCAAATCGCCTTTTTGCCTTTAGGCTGACATCTAAAACAACAACCTTCAATTTTATAAACTAAAAACATTCCACAAGAATCTATTGCAGATTTACTGAGGTAAAAATCACATCTACACAGACCTTTTATTGCCAGAAAAAGAAATACTTACACTTCATAATTAAAAACTGAACAGGGCACATAAAAGACAAAAATAAATTGTAATATGTACACACATTAGAAAGGATAAATAGCAAATATACTGTAATACTGCATTAAAAGTATGCGTATGTGAATTCCAGACCCACCCCCCAAATTTTGTGTACATTAATCAAAGGATAAATAAGTGCTAATATAAGACAGATAATTTCTTAGTGTAAACAATGCCACAGGCTTTTTAATGGGCCTTTGGGCCAACTTAGAAAAATCATGTATTGCCTTTCACACTCCATACCACTTAATTTTAATAGTACTGTATTCACATATACAATTTCAAGATAGTATAAAAAATTATGAATCTAAGAAGCATTCTTCACACTGAACAAAAGCAGGCTGCAGACACTCCAAGGATTTCCCTTTCACTTTTACAGGACCACTGGCTGAAGACATACTGATTCATCCGGGAGTTCTTCCTCAAGGCAATGCAAGAGTCCTTAAATGTAAAAAGTCACATTAGTCACTGCTCAAGCATACTAGCAAAGACTTCTGTGCCTAATTTTATTCACACTGGCATGATGTCGAAGTCACCACTGCCTGCCACGATGAGAAAGATAATGATCCCTCTGGTTTGAATGGCAAGTGACAGACAGCAAGGAGTGTTTCTAAACATGAAGCATTTCACTGAATGTAGTTTTTTCTTCAAATCCTGTTTATGTCTTTCTGAGGATCCAGAGTATGTCAACATTAAAAACCAAAAAACATGTGGCTTGTTCTGTATGAATGTTCAATGTATTTTCCTGAAGCATGCACACTGGGATTTTAAAAAAGACAGATGAGTTATACTAGGACTAATTTCTGGCAACTGTATTTACTGGCACCAAAGAAAATGACAGTTCTTCACTAAAGTACTGATGACATGAGGACTTATGGCTTGCCATCTTTTTAAGACAGGCTGCAGCCATTAAAAAAAAACAACACAAAACAAACAAAACATGCACAGTTGCTCACACACTCTTTTTTTTTTTCCTCTTTAAATAATTCTCCCCACTGTGCATCATTAGGCAGTTCCATCCATTCCACTTTTCTCTGTGGACTGACAAGCGAAGACTCTCTTGCCCCAGCTCTCAGTCCTTTTCACACAACCCCTCCCTCTCAGTTACCCTCAGTCACAACCCTATGAAATCTGATGAGTTCCTGGTAGGAGGCTCTCAAGCGATTGTCTTCAGCACTTCCTGACTTGTGGAGCTCTGATGAAGAAGTCCACTGACTTGTCTGTGTGGAGTAGCCACAGAACCGTGGTCTGTCTGAACACGGACAAATGCTTCACGTGGGTTCTCCTCCTAGACAAATCATTTGTCCATTGATAAAGACAAGGGCCACTTTCTTCATTAACGTCAGGGAAAGCTGTAGCACACACTCATACTCAAGTTCCAGTGCAATCTCAGGTCTTCAGGATGCAATGATTTCCCCAAAGAAAATTGTTACATGAAATACGGGATGTGGTCAAACAGTTATGGACGATGAAACCTGAAAAGATAAATTAAAAAACTTGGAATTATATTATTTCAACTGACAACGAACCTGATCCTAATCCTGCTCTCATAGCTGTTTACTTTTTTGGCCCAAACAGAATTATTTCTGATTTTCCTGGTCTGTGTGGGTTTAGAGGCACACCTATTATCCCTCGCTGTCCATCTCTCTCTACTTATAAAACCAAACAGGGATTTGGTGTGGCTCAAGCACTGATGTATCACTGTCTGCCCATACCATTAACCTATCACTGTGCTCCCTGGCATGGTTTGGCTTGGGTCAACCAACTCCTTCAGGTACTGCCTGGGCATGTTTGGGATTAGCAGAGGACAACAGGCAAGCTGGGTATCGGGGGACGTTGCCCTCTTTTGGGGGAAGAGGAATAGGTTAATTGTATGAATGCAAGCTATGCCAAGCCTGCCTCAGGGCCAGAGAACAACGTCCAGTCTGTTCTGTTTGCCAATATAGATTTACCCATAATTGCATCCACTATTTGGATGACAGTAGCTACTATGTAAAAAGCTTTGCTAAACCATAAGATTTAAATTTCTGGGTTTTAATCCTTGTGCAAAATGAAGCTAACAAAAATGTTGTATTTTTTTAAAGTAAGCAACAAATTTTATAGCAGTGCAGATGCTTTCTTCCTAATAACAGCTGAGGCACATGAAGGCCCAAATATACCTCACTGTTTTTTAGGCTTTTAGGTAGAGCATATACATTGCTCCAGAATGCCTGTATGATGCCTAGAGAGGTGGATTGCTCCAAAAGGTGTCACCAACCTTTTCTACAATAAGTTAGGAACCTACAGCAATTGAAATTCTAACTCATCTTAAATGTAATGTATCCAAGCAAAAGGGTAAGAAGGGCACCAGTATCAGGTTCTCAATGTATCTATCACCAGACATAAACATCTCTTTAAATGGCTTATAAAATGTATCTGTCCATGAAGTAGTAAAAGATGCAACAGCTTGAAAAAAGGCATGTAATGCAACGGATTTATCTAAGTTTTTGTTTGACACATTCTCTCTTAACAGCTCCAGAGAAGAGAAAACAAGCCACATGCTACCCCACATTACAAGCTGATTCAGTACAATACAGGGATGCATTTCTCAAATAAAGGAGGTGTACACAAAAGCTGACATTCACAAGTATGCAGCTCATCTGCTAAGTGAGGGTATAGTGGATTGCAAAAAAGACACAGGGTTTTTGTATTTGTGTGGAACGATATAGTGGACTATATATAGCATTTCCATTGGAAACACTTAATAAACATCTACTAATAACCTCTTTCCAAACTTCTATTTATTTCTCTATTTTTAAAAACTTGGTTTCTTGGATTCTCTTATGAAATAACAGAAAGAATCAGTCCAAATTACTAGGAGTAGAAAACCAGTTAAACTGACAGTCATTACTGTATATGATGAACAATTTTAACTTCTCACGTTTAATATAAAATTTTAACAATTCAAATGTTGTAAGTACTGATTATAATATTAAAGCATCTTATATTTAATCTGTAATAATATAGGAAACCATATCCTATAAACTATTTTTTGGTTAGTAAGTAGCTTTGTTGTCTCATTCTATCACAGAACTTGATGAATAAGGCTTTGTTAACGAGCTGCCAATGCAAGTGCCTTTTAGTTAGCATTATTTCAGTGATCTCCTTGGAAAGAATCAATCTCTCTAGCTCGAGACTTCTGTCTATGGTTTTCTTAAATCACTTTTTTTAATCAATCCAAATGTAGCAGAAACTACATAATTTTTAATGAGAGGTCCCAGAGGAAATGGGATCTCTTTTTATTTTCAAAATTGCAATTAAATTAAAACATCTGCATCTTATTTTGCTCTTAATTAGCTTCTTCTAGTGTTACTCTTCTGACTTCGGTGCAGTGACTCCACAACATGATCATTGCAACAAAAGAGGGTGGAGAAGGAACAGAGAGAACCTGATTTCTCTCACATTGAAATTCTTTGGGGACCCTATGGAACCATTGCCTATATTTACCATTATTTGGCTGTGCCTATTTTTTACTCCATTTTCTAAGGCCCTCCTCGAAAAAAATAATTCACTTTTTAACTGATTTGTCACTCCCCTGGATTCCTGGTTCAGCTTTCAAGAATCCAACTGTAATAAGTCTTAACTGGTTTTTAATCTCATGAAAAAATGTCCAGTTCTTTTTGTATGACTCATGCCTATCGGTACTTATGCTTTGACATTGTAGTGCAACTCAGGAAACACAACAATGTAAGCAGGGGGTTGGTTTCCATAACTGCTGTTTTTATTCTCTACCTTGGGATGTCCTTTTTTTTAAAACCAGTATTTTTATATATTCTGAAAAGATATACTACCTAGTAGCTGAAGAGACAATGACATCAGAAGCCAAATGAAAATATACATCTCCATGTTTGAAAAGAACATTTTCTAATGGTCAGAATGTGACACTAAATTAAAACCTTGCCTCTGGTTCATCTCCTGGCTTAGGTTTGCTGCCTGTAAAACCGGTTTGACTTTTTTAAAATGAATTTGTTCATGTTGTATCTACACAGAAGTGACTTTACATTATTATTAAAAAAAACCCCACCATGTTTTGGTGAGAAAGAAATCACTAAAGTTGTGAAATCAGGCAATAAAGCAGGAGATGCAAGAAACACCTATATCCCATTTTGAATTTTCCTGTTATACACTCTTAAATTAGAAGATTCTCACTCACTAGCTTGGATCCTGAGTTTGGTTGCAACGGTAGCAGGAAACAGAAAGGACCCAGTCTTAGGCAATTAGTTTTATTTGACTTAATTCTCTGTAGAAGCAAAGACAAAAATGCTATGTACACAATGTTGGCCGATCCTAACATCAAGTTTTGCTTGCTGGTGTCCATTTTCAGCCTTTGTAACTTCCAAGAAACATGAACACATGCCATGGGGATGACAGGAAGCGTCTCCCTCCCCCTAGGAATAACTGCCAAATTTTAAGGCCTGCTAAAAACTATGGACACTTCAGAGCTCTTGAAAACAATAATGCTTCAGACAACATCTTCATGTTATCCAAAGCAGAGAACAAAACAAATCCAGATTAATAGATTAGAAGTGGCAAAAAGGGAATCTATCTTGTTCCCCAGAAACTGCTGCCAGGAGCCCACCCTTAGAAAGCTCGCCAAAACACTGGCTTTTCTGAAGTTCAACACGTAATCTAGTTTTCACTTAGCAAATGTATCTACAAAAATGTATGCTTTCATGAGCAAGGGAGTGCTGCCAGAGAAGGAAATCCCTTTATTTTTGTGCATTTTAGGACTACTAACTTTAGCTCTGAGAACCATCGAGTTCTTTCAGACTATTTTTCAGATGCCCCAAACAATCTTTTTCTGTGTAGCAACCAATCCATTGCAGTCACCTTCACTGCTGTATCAACTAGAGATGGCATCAGCAATACTGGGAATTCTAACAGAATCACTGGTGAGATTCAAGGGGACCCAGTAGGAATCCATACAAATCATGACACAACTGCAGAGGACTTGCAGAAAGGCAGAGGGTTTGCTGTCATACCCATGTCTCACACTTATGCAAGAAGAGGGATTCACCCACCTGGTAAATTGCCGACTTTCCTCATGTACTTCCATTTCTGTGCTTTTAAATTCATTCAGTTCTTTCCGTATTGCTGCCTAATAAACAATAATGATATATGCAACTTTAAGAAATATGAATTTTAAGGAAAGTAATGAATAGGAAAGGAACCTGGCCTACTCTTGCAGTTTCCTTACAGTTCCCATTTCAAGTCTCCCTTACTATAATCCACAGTTCTCACACATTTCTGATCATCAGCATGAATTACTTTTTTAAATTACAACTGTTTGAAGCAGTCTTACATTACAAAGAAACCCAAAGCATCAAGCACCAACAATAAACAAAGAAACACCAAATCTACTTCAGTGGAGTGAACCAAGCCCCCACTGAAATATGAAATACACCACTTCCTGCAGACAGAAATGGGCAAGGGATTGGGTTATTTTGCAATCACTTGATGAATATGCAGCCAGCAGGGGTTGTATCTCCAGGCACAGCCCCTGAGGAGCTGGTGAGTCACTCTGCCTGCACAGGTACCGTGCACACAGCAGGGGCCTTGTCTCTATCTCCCCAATGGAGACAGGTCTTCAGGAATGCAAGATGAACAGCAATTTTTTTTAAGTGGAATTAGTCATTTGGTTTGATTAGTTTTATGTAAAATGACATGAAATATTTGGACATTTCAGGCTTGTGTTTTCAACTGGCAGATACTGAGGAACAGCAGAAATTCAGTGCATTTGTAAATGCTTTGTTGCTTATATTAAGAGACTGATAAGCAATTTAGTTCATCAAGTAATAATTTCTAAAATATTCTAATATACTACAAGGGGTTTTATTTCTATGTCACACGCGTTCCTACCTTCACTGTGAAAGGAAATGGCAGTTTATTCTTACTCTTTTCTTTCCCTAGTTTAAATAAAGACAGTATCATTTCATTAAGCCCTAAAGAAATGTCATCTGGTGTGTATGCTTTTCAATGCAGAACAGGCAAGCAGCATGATAAAATTATAGCATCACCAGACTGCAGTCTCATAAATGAGAAACTTCATTTTAAGCAGGGGATGGTTCTGTTTAGCCACAACAGCATGCTTACACGAAACTGCTGTTATAGCTAGGAAAGGGGCACCAATTCCTGAGCACCAAATCAGCAGCAAAGACACCAGAGCTCCAGCTCCCTAATTTAGTTACAGTACAATTTTCTGCTCCCACTGGAACTAGAAGAATGACTTCCCTGGGAAAAAAAAAAGGGTGAGGGAGTTTCCAGGCAGCCCTGGGTATGCCTTTCTGCTAAGGCCAACAAACACAGGGCTCACAGAAACAGCTCTGGGCACCTGTTCATTACAAAGTCAACTGAAATTAAAAACTGCTATACTGAAGTAGGTAGAAAACTCCATAGTTTTTAATAGTTCAGTGTACCCTGGCTGGTACAAAGTGCAGGTCAAAGTGGAGGAGCTGGATGCTCTAATCTCCCACACACTACGTGAGGATTAAACAGTGCTCAGCACCTCCCAGAAACAACATCTACAAACACTTCTGGCTACATTTTTAATGTCTCCACCTCGACTTGATATGAGATTCTCATCTGATTGTCAGATGAGCTGGCAGTTTTTTAATATTAATATTAAAAAAATGCAAGCTAAAATAAAATCAGTGCTTCACCATGTTTAGCTAAAAGACAGTGGGTGCTTGCACATATCACTTTTCATGTCAAGCATATCTCATTGGACTTCCATAAAAATAGGTTCAGACCCATTGTTAAAAGGTCAGTACTTTTTGCTACTTAAATCCTACAGCTTTCCTTTTATTAAGTGGTAGAGGATGGAAATGGAAGAGTATTTTATGGTAATCTTTGATCGGTTTTTCAAATGAGAGTCACAGAATCTTTTGTCTCATCCTTTGTAGTTAGGTAGAGGAACTATAAGCTGTACATTTTAGGTGCAAACTTCCAAGAAGTTGCACTGCATGCACCCAGTCAGCTCCTGCACTGCTGTTGATGCCAAGATCCCTGAGGAGGATGAGGCAGCTTCTACCTTTTTTCACTCAAATGAGTTGCAAAAGTAACTCTCAGTGGCAGAATTCACCTGAATTCCACAGGTTGGGGCCACCTTTGCTAACCATTTATCTGGTTTAGCAGGGATTTAAAAATTTAAAAAATTAGGAAAAAAGATCAGAAATTCTGGGCTGAACTGTCATAATAGATGTGGCAAATAGCTCTCCATGGGTATCTGAGTGGGTTTTCTTGTCTGCAAGCAACAGATGCACAGTAGTACCATGACAATCTCGCTGTCTCCAGCAGATGTCATTTGTGATGCTGGCATCAAGAGAATGTAAACCAGAGGAAAGCTCCACAAAAGTAACAGATGAAAGCATTTTCTTATAATCTACATTTGTCCCTTGCCTTGTCTGCAGGAGTTAACCTGGCCCAAGGCTTGTCAGCACGACGGTCATAATCTGGAGAATCCGTGACTTCCACATACTCGTTAAATCGAAGGATTCTTCTTGCTTGAAGTTCAGCCACTGTGGGCCTCAGACTGAGCTGTAAGCAGGAGGCAGAAAATGGTACGCTTAATAAGATGAAATAAAGTAAAATAAAAGCTGAGGGTATGATGTAATCTCAAGAGAACTTTAATGGTATTTCTAAATAGGGTCACTTTCAGGTGTCTATAAAAAGGCATCATCCTGGGAGTGCTGCACAGGAATGGGGAGGCAGCACAACCTAATTTCTTCAATTACAAAAATAGTCTTTGTCAGGCAGGTCACAGAGAATCATGACAGTTATCCCTGGAATATTAATTGCAACTTTGCAACTGTCACAGCATTTACTCCACTAGGCCGTTTGCATCAATGATTATACAGTCTGCTGCATTAAACTGTAATACTGAAATAAGCAGGATTTGGAAGTACCTGCCTAACTAAAAAAAAAAACTGGTCTTGACCATCTGGGGGTCATTATGATGCCAAATTGTTACACTCACCTCAAAAAATATTCACTTTAATTAACTAAGGATGATCATATATTAAGGAAACTGTATTTTTGCAGAGAAGAGCAGACTAGGGATACTTATGAAAACTCGCCACATCCTCTCCCAGAACAGCAGACCCATAACTGCTCCATTTCCAGGGACAATGAGCATGATCCCACCTGCAGAAACTAGGACCACCGATGTGGTTAGAAGAGTGGTGAAGGGATTTTGTAGGGCTTACATTGCTTTGCTGCTCCCTCCACTGCCCTCAAACACACGTGATAGCTCACAGAGGAAATGTGTCCTTTATCTCCCCTGCTTATACAGAGAAATATTAAGTATGGCCAGACTCTGTATGCTTTTCCAGGTGTGGGAAACTGGACAGGATGGAGTTTTCCCCAACATGGATTTGGCTTGTACTGCTTTTTAAGCAGATTTGTAATCTGGGGACATGACTGATGGACATTTGCAGTAATGTCAACAGACTGATTTTCAGACTCTTATAAAACATAATTCTATGTACACAAATACACAATACAAAAAACACATCATCACCTTTCTACTGAGTCTACGTTTTATTTCTCTTTTGGCTTCCTGTTCCTCTTCTTCATTCTTCTCTGTTTTCAGAAGAGATAAAAAGGAGTGAATATTTAAGTATTATAACTGCACATACTGTATTTCTGTTGGCTGAAAGCTTCAGAACTTCAAGTCCTGGCTCATGTTTCCTCATATTTCTGGATGGTGCTGCATGTGCTGTCTGCTTTTTGACTTTTCTTTGCTCTCATTTTTTTCCCTATCCGCATTTCCCCTGATTGTGTAGACAGCTCAAGTCAACTGTGGGTCACAAGCACAGCAAAGAGGAGGCGCCTGTCATTTCATTTCTGTGCATCAGCAAGCACGTACCCTGAAAAAGCTGCCTAATGTTTCAATTACTTATTCTAACAAAAAAACTCACTGTTGCTTTTACTTCCAACATGCCACCTCTTGACTTTAGAGTGAGAGTCTAGTTATTCATAAATGTCAAGAAAAAAGTTTGCTCTGAGTCTTTTAATCAGACAAGTGTCTTCTACTGCTACAGGACACAATGAATCAATGAGATTTGTTTCACTGTCATTTGTTAGTGCAAATTGGTTTTATTACTTAAATATTTTTGGGGGTTTTTATAATGGGGGCATAAGATTCAGCACTCAAGCCCTCTTGGTTAAGGGCCACTGGCTGTACCAAATGAATGAGCACAAATATACACATGCATTTTTGGAATGTATTTGGGCATGTGACTAAAATGTGGTTTTAACAAATTTCTGTGCTAACCAAACTTGATTTCTTGAGTGTCAGTGAAAAGCACACTTACAAAGACATGTTCATATGGGCTCAGCATGTTTCTAGATTGATGTACAGTTTGAAGAACATTATTTGCCCTTTCAGTCCACTTCTGATGGTTATATTCTGAAATATCCCATCTAGAGATATCCATAACATTTTGATCCTATTTTATTCATGGTTTAGGATTACAGACACTACATTACAGTTCAAGGGTAACTATAAATTGAAAGGAATTAATTTGCTCTGGATACAGCCAACCTGTATAGATGAAAAGGCAGTTTTAAATCCTGGTATAGTTGTATTTGCCCTGTTTCCTATGGCCAGCTTGCTGTGTTAGTATAGGTAACCTGGCTACAGAAGATTTTGTGTATCATGACTTACTTACACACTGGAGGCAATGCTATGACAGAATACCTTGTGGTACTCACAGATTTCCTTTGCTAACTCAAAAGCTTTCATAGAAGAATACAAGAGAAAGGAGAAGAGGACAAATTATTAAAATGAAAAAGAAGAAAGATACAGCAGGAAAAAGGCAGCCCAAGATCGGCTCTGTGAGAAGTGTCCAACACACACAAGTGTCCCCAGGTTTCCAAGAGCAAGATACAATCTCACAGGCTTGCTGCCAGGATTAGGTTGGATCTCATATCGGTGGTGATTTTACTGAGATACTGAAACGTGGATGAAATTTATGGTTTATTAATAGCTTTTCTCTTCAATGGAAAAGAAATGGATGGCCTGTTTCCATAGAGGAACTGTAAATGGACTAAAACTGAAGAAAGAAGAGTTATAGATTAATCTACATTTTAATTTTTTAATTAATATATCTATCAATAAACAAGTTGGGTGTATTTAAGGACTTCGGACTTTAAATGAGAACTCTTTTCATAAAATCCTCACCTAAAAAAATCAAAAGCTCTCTAGCTCTTTTAGGACAGATAATCATCTGCAATCTTTTGTTTAAACATCCTGTCTTTGCAATCAGTAGACATTGTAGCTGAGGTAATTAAACATAAACTATTAATTTGGGGTTCCATTCACCTGGGAATCATCTGACATAAAAAATTTTGTCCCTTCATGAATGGTGTCCCTCGGAAGCTCTCCAGTAGCAGACACAGCAGAAAAAAAAAAAAAAAGCAGCTGAATATACATGTCACTGTACTATCCTTTCCTTAATTTAATTGTAAAATAAGTTGTGAATTATTCATATCTTGGCATTTCTTTGCTATCTAAACCACAGTGTCTCCTAAGAAGCAGCAATAAGATGCTTCATGTAAGAAATAGGGGCTCAGGCTGCTTAATGCATATTTTAAGGAACTACCAACAGCATGGTCACCTGAAATACTGTTTCTCTATATTTTGAGGGAGGATACAATACCTTAAAAGAGTTAATCCGGACATTTAGGAAGGTTGAAGGTTAGCTGCCTATCCCAAGCTGTAAAGCTACCTCACTGCAGGTACCAGATGACTGCACAAAGGGACACCTGGACAAGGGAAAACACCCAAAAATAGGCAACATGAAAGGCCATCATAATAGTTGCTGGGAAGAGGTCCAGGCAGGTCCTGGAACAGGCTGTCGAGGAGAGCTGGCAGCCCATCTTTTGGAGGACAATACCAGCAGGAGGCACCAGGACCTTCCTTCACTCCTGAGGCAAAGCAGGAGGGATCAAAACCCTGTGTGAGGTCAGGGGACAGGATGTGTTTTATACATTCAAGTTGGTTTACTTCTAGGAATAAAACTCAAGAGCTAAAGGAAATAGACTGAAATCTGGTGGTTGCTGCTAATCTACTGAATCTGTTGTTTGGCAAACAGGCCTCTGTCTCTGGCATACCTAAAGCATATCAAACCTATCTCAAACCTAAAGCACCAATTTCCCACCTCCAGCCCGCTGGGCAGAGCATTGCTTTAAGCCTGGTGCTACGGAACCACTGCCTGGATACAAATTCCTACAAACAGTAAAACCTACAGTGTATTTTTGGTCTTTTAAGGTAAAAGTTTTGAAAATTGATGTAATGAGTTAAGAAGATATGTGGTGCTAAAAATAATGGGTCTAGTGCTCCTGGTTCCTTCAGGTATTGTGGAAAATTCCAGCCAGAGGGCCAAGATCTGGCTGCAGGTGACTCACTTGCCCAAACAGGAACACATTAATGCAAAGAAACACACTTCTGCTTTCCACCTTAAAAGCAGACCTAATCTGTGTGGTGTGGACAAAGAAAATATAAACACAGCATTCCCAGCTGCAAGTCCCCTCCTCAGATGTCCCGCTGCTGCCTTATTGGCGAAGGACCAGCCCAGCAAGCGCCTTTGCTTCTAGAAGTCTCGGGTTAGATCCCAGCAAAACTATGGCTTCCCTCCTTCCCTGCCTGCAGCTCCTAAGAGGTCAGACTGGGTTCTGACTCCTAACTGAAACAATTTTGTTTATCATCACTTTTTGTTTCCATCAAGTTAAACAATCCACTCTCCAAAGTCAAACCAGCAGCTTCCCCGGCATCTATACATTACTGCTCCTCCAACTTTTGCCATATTAAATTTGGTCACCTTCTGTTTTTTGGGACATTTGTTTTGCAACAGAAGGGGAAAAGAGAAAAAATAATTTTTCCTGCCTCAGGACTGCTCTGTTCTTGACGAGAAAGTACTCCTGGAGCATAAAACTGAACTTTCCATTGTGTCCCTATGGGATTAGCTATGTTTAGACTTCTCTGTGGGCTTGCTAGGGAAAGAGAAAGAAAAGACAAACAAAGCACTTGCTCCTTGCAGTGCTCTGAAACACACAAAGCGGTTTCTCTTTCCTGATTTTACATTAATATTCCTTAACTAGCACTCAGAGCTAAAGCCAGTTTTCTACAAAGCCAAACCCTATCTTCTACAAAACCATTACTGGCAGGCATGCAGGTGCACTGTACATGAAGTTCACTGTCCTTTACCAATACAGGAAAAAAATACAGTTATCTTAATCTGAAATTCTTGGAAGACTAGAAAGTTTCTTTGCCATATTGCAATACTATAAATACTGCTGGTTCAAAGCCAGTACACAAGAAACCCGTCTTTATAAAAAACACAGGGCTTTATGTATTCCTTCAAGTGGACTCTTGAGTTATCATAACTTTGTTTTAGTATGGGAAGTCTCAGAAGTCTGGATAGTTTTTTCAAACAGTTTTTAAAGAAATCTGCCTGCAATGCCTTGCGATCATACTTGGAAACGGGATTTTCAGTAACTGGTTTATCTGGAAATATTATCAAAACAAAACTTCTTCCAAAACAGACTTCCTCACTAACTGGAAACACACAACAAAAGAAAAAAATATGTTTTTGTTTTTTTTTTTTTTTTACCTCTTAGCGGATTTGGGCTGAACTTAATCCTGAAGTAAACATTTGGACCTTTACCACTTAATGTAACCTCAAAGTCTATGATAAGTATTACTTAAAACAATACTTCCCCTTAGCTGCAATTTATATGCATGCAATAATATAACCCCCTCTCCCCCTCCACTGCTTAAAAATAGGAGGAAGGAAACTTTATGAAAGAAATCCCAACTTACTCACAAAAGCTGACTACACCAACAAAGGCATTTAAGACATGTAAACATTTTCAAATGATCCACAGGAAGGGAATGCAATAATTTTGATTTAAAATATGAGTGCCTTAGGGCTGAGAGAGAACTTGCACCCCGAAAGGACTCTGAGTCAGACTGTCACCACAAACCCTGGCTTGCTTTCGTTCACTTTGCTTTTTACAAATCACTTTCAACTTGAAATATTTTGTATCTCAGTGATGAGCAAAAAGCAGTTTTGGATTCTCCATGTGCTCTCTAAGGACTCCGTGACTTCTTGTGATTTACCATTCTGCTCCCCAGCCTGTATTTTTTGCTCTCCCTTGCCTCTTTAAGACAGCCCCCCGGCAGCAGCAGGGGAGGACAGCGGGAGGCACTGAGTGCAAAGCTTGGTATGCTGCCAAAAGCTTAAAGTAAACAAGCCGAAACAGGAGAAGAAATCTATTAACCGCTTTCCAGTCTTGAGCTACTTATTGCAAAATCAGTGAATAGAATAAACATTGGCAAAAGGGATATTAAATACCTTGCAGGTTCGCTGCTAGGTTAGCTATCTCAAGATAAGCGAGACCGAAAGGGCAGTAAGGGAGCCCAGCTGGTGCTCCCAGCTCAGTGGCCGTATCTTGGCCCATCGAAGATGTTTTGGAATTACCTCTCTCACATAGTCCAGCATGAGCAGTTTGTCATATAAAAAATTATTCATATTTCAAATTTTACCTTTATTTATCTATGCAGGTTCAGAAATTATAGTTTTAGGAAGTATGTTCACATTATGTGCTGGATAGAAGTCCTATGACCCCTTTTTTGTGCACATGTGAACTGGACCTTCCCTCTTCCATAAGACATGGTGCTATTTGGCATCTGAGAGCTTGTACAATAGCAGTAAGATTTTATTAGCAAGGATGGTTGCCTGAAAGCCAATAATTGCTGACTCCCCTGATTTGCTGGCCTGAAAAAGTGACAGAGTCATCAGTCCATGGACGTTGTCAGGCAAACAGCCCATTTTCTTTCCCTCCATTACCATGCTGCACACCAGGGTTGCACAGCTCTTCTGAATGATTGTTGGAAATAACAGCATTATTCCTTCTCTTTCATGAGGTGTGAAAAGGTCTCATGTCCTAAGAACAGATGAATCTTTTGATTTTTTGGTATGTGTGAAAGACTTGCATGTGTGTTTTCTTCATTTATTTCTTCTACTTAACCATCAAATACTAGCTTACCCCTGCAGAATGAATACAGGGCTAGATGGAGCTGGGCATGGCAACTGCTACACTATGTGTTTAGGTAACACTCATATTATGGAAAGATTCGTAAAGGAAGACAAAAACTTCCTGTTCTGAAGAGTTTGCCAGCCTAAGAACAAAACCAACACAAGTAAATGGGAGAATAGGTATACAAGGTAAACACCCAATGTACTTCATTCCTCTGCCCTTGACTATGTGAATTACAGACTTTTTTTCCAGCAGGGATACTGAAGAAGGATTTAATAAATGGGAAGATATTTGGTGAGAATGTTTCATGAAGGTTTCAGTACAGAAGACATTCATGTCAGAAGTGAATATGAAGGCCAGCATGCTGAAATAGTTGGCATACACCTATTGTCTTTTTCCTGAACACTTTGCCTTACCTCTTTCTACTCCTCCTTCCAACCTCTGCCCTTACATCCCACCTTTGTCTCCTACGGATATTCCCTCCTCCTCCTCCTTCTCATAAAAATTAGGTGGAAAGTCAACCAGCTTAGAACTACTTCTGAGGGGTATCTAAGTCATTCCTGGTCTTTTGGGACCATCTTCAATAAGTGGGATTGTGACAAGCAAAATCAGGCATATTGAATATACGCTCTTTTCACAGCCACAGTTACAGGTTAGTATATAGATCTAGTGTTGACACATTATTTTCTAGAACATAATTTCTCTCCAGTTATGGATCTAGTACTGCAGCAACAATTATGGGCTTCCATATGAATTCAAAATATGCTTATTTCCTAAGTAAATACTAGCTGAAGCCTGAATAAAATACTTACGCTTCAGGATATTTCTTTGCTCTAGCTCTTCAGTTGTAGGCCTCTGGCTAAGTCTCCTGTGAGAACAAAGTAAGTGACTGATTTAAAACCAGATCCAAGTAATAAATTCCAATTTGTAATACAGAATACATTTTGTAATGTTAAAAGGTATTTCTCATATGGCTGTGCTGTTCTTTGCCAGCACAGGTCATTTCTAGACAGTTAAAATAACTGCACATGTAACCATAGTGGTGAGTGGCTGTTTGTTTTAAAGGATGTACTGCTGACACTTGAACACATAAATAACTGATAATTGAATAATATTACAGAAATTGCACCACAAATAAAAAATTCCTTGCAGGTGTAATTTTATGAAAGAATTCATAAGTCTTCTTTTGTTCCCAAGCACCATCATTATGATAAGTAGTGCAATTCTAAGATTATTATCAGATATTTTGAATGCAAACCTTATAATTTTTAAAAGGAAAAAACAACAACAAAACCCATAAGCTGTTCATTTGTCACTGAATTGTATGTACAATACAACTGGGAGCTTCAACTGAAACTTAATTTTATTTAGTTATCTATAACAACTGCCCTTACAAAAAAACAAATTGAGATTTTAATTTTCTGGTTTGTATAGTAGAGAACATGGTTGATGTTGTCGTTGTGTTTACTAAACAAGTTCACTTGTTCACTTGAGAAAAGGAGCATGAAAAATTCCAGCAGTAAAACTTATTGTGCAGATTTGTCAAAGATAGGTGCTTCTCTGTCCAGCAACACTCACACAGTTCACTATGAACCGTCTTCAGCCTTGCGAAACTCATCCAATTCAAATCATGCCTGGACTTCCAGATGTGTCCCAAAGTAATGGCAGACCCCAATCCTGGCTGAGCTGTAGAAAGAGTTTCCTACCAGACCTAGATGCTGCCAAGTGTTGATCACCACACTGAGAATTTTTAAGGAACTGGTGTAAAACTTGGTTGTGATTTTGGGTATGAGCACAGCCCTGACACACACAGACATTGACTCCAGCCACCAAAGCAGAGCTGTGTGGGGAGCATGTCAGCTCTCCAGCAGAACCCACAATGTCCCTCTGCAGGGACCGCTCAGGGCGGGAACCAAAGAAGCTTCTGCAGTTCCAGCCCCTAAGGGATCACTGACAAGCAGGATATGATCACTGGAGCTGGGATTTGGTTAGGAAAGTGGTAATAACAACCACACCACTTTATTAGTAAAAGAACAGTGACCTTTGGGCTCTACACAATAGACGTATCACTCTTACTGTTAAGTAATTAAATAGGTGCCTTAGCCAGCCTCCCAGTTCACAAACTCAGCTTCTACATGTGGATGCAGAGCTGCTTTACTTTGTACTGGAGCAGTACCAACTGGACTATCCTATATCTGTAAATGTCCAACAAACACAAGACATCCTCCAGATCTGTCTGGACATGATTCCTGAGCCCAAGAGAAACAAGGACAGGTCTGGCAAAATACAGACATGCTGTAGTCTATTCTCAGAGACCACAAAAGCCAAAATTAAACATAAGGATTTTTTAAAAATAAGTTTGTAAAAAGGTAAGTGAAATATTTTCATGCAATGTTCTCAGGTCCAGAAAGAGAAAGTAACATATATCCCATAGCAGTTTAACAGCATGAGAAAGGCATGCCTCAGAGTTGGGCACAGTAAAACGAGACACTGACCTGCAAAGTCAGCCTCCTTCCACTTCTTTTGCTGGAACCAACACATGAATAATGAAGGAATTAGAGAGCAGGAGGAGGATGGGGAGGGTCAGAAGGGACAAACATGCACAGGCATGCTCTGTATGTCAGGAACTACGACTCTGTCTGAGATGAGTGTACATACAAGTGAAAGTTCCTGCCAACCAATTTGAGAAAAAACCTGAACCATAGCACTGATTATTGTGGACTCATTGTTACCCTCTTCTTCTTTCCTTTCCTAACCCAACAACCCAAAAACCCAGAACCTCTCAGATTTGCTCCTTGCAGGACAAAAAATGCATTATTGACATTTTAAAGTTTTGTGAGAAATAAAACTACTGTTTTCCAGACAGTTATACCACAAAGATTCTGCAGTGCATATTGGGCTGCATTTAAAACATGAACCCACTGTTCTCAATTCTCTTCCTCCACCTCCACCCAGTAAAACCACATTTACCCTGCGACTGATACCTCACTAGCTTCGTTCCAATCTGATGTCTGATTTCCTGCCTCTCCTCTTCAGATGTACGCTGCAAGATGTTTTTGTCCTCTAATTCTTTCTTAGATGGTCTGTTGCCAAGTTTGATAGCAAGAGTATCCCTACGACGGATTTTACTTGCCAAAGAGCCTGAGGAAAGAAGGAGTAGGGTAGATTTAGTTCAGTCATACTTAGGTTACAGACACAAACTCTGAGTAAGAACTTTAATACCTCCCCAAAGCAACCTTGTTCCCACATGCACAGAGGAATTTTAATTAACATCAAAAGAAAAATTTTAGCTCAGTTCACAAAAATAAAAAGCTAAAAGGCTTGGAGGAAAAAGCTACCAGCCAAACTGATACAAACATCACTTGTCATCTGTGAAGTGATAGGATAAAAATGACAAATCTACACTTAAGTGTCTTTGAAGTCTAATACATTACAGATGGCTTATTTGTCTACTTAGTATATTTAGCAACCTGCTGCTCTTTTTCTTCAGTCTTAAATGGTTTAGTCTCATTCTATCATCATTTCCCTCATTCTTTCAATTTTTTTTCCAATCAATTACTACTTCGTTCTTTTATAGTGCTTTTCATCTTAAACTTATTTGTAAATTAAAACAAAAAATACAGCTTAGAAAAGTGTTCTGAGTGCTTGTAAAGTAACCTAGGCAGGAACCCCAACACACTGAAGCAATCTGTTTATCCATAAAACTGACACAGTAGGGACAAGGGCCTTGCAGCTTTGTCAGCACTAGCTCCAGCCAGCTGTGGAAGAAAGGGTATTTTCACACTCTCTGTAGTCTTTCTCTTGTGTCTTGACATTCTGACCAAGGTGGGCTACATATGTCCTAGGCTGGTAGATTTTCATCATGTAAGGCAGTTTGGTAAGACCACAGGCTCTCAGCTCACTTCTCATAAGACATCATGCTGCTACCTGAATACATGAATTTCTGGTTTCTATCACACTGGATTGTATTCAAACTCAACACAGAAATGCAGAAGACTTCAGCCTCTTGAGCTACCTGGCACTTCACCTTCTGCTGCTCCAGAGGCCAAGTTAAAAAACACATGTTCAGTTTTGCTCACCCCACTTTGGTACACAGCACTTCGGTGTTCAGGACTTCTTCGCTGAGCACAGAGAAGCACCTTCTCTGGAACAGCTGTGAGCAAGGCTCTCAAGCTATGGTTCACTGGTGATTTTATACTGACATATGGCCATCCTGCAGGGGGTAGAGGTAGGGCTGCCTTCCTCTCCGCCCCAACAGCCTGCTCCTGCCACCTCTTTGCCCAAGCAAAGGAGCAGCCACTGGGTGAGCTGGATCAGGGAGCCACCAGTTCTATTGAAAATCAGCTCAACAACAGCCACTGCTGCAAAAATGAACTTGAGTGCTGGCCTAAGGGGAGAGCGAACAGCTGGGAGCAGGGATTGGTGAGAATGGGGGTAGGACAAGCCCTTCAGCAGCTGCAGGGCTTCTGCCCAATTAGGGTGATGATAGTCATGACCCCAGACGAAATTTCAAAGCTGTAAAACTCAGATGTAAACTACTGTGATCTGCTCTGTCTGCTAAGGTTGCTCCAATGCTTAAAACATCCTGATCAAAGAGGAACAAATGACTTTCAGACAGTCAAGCTGCCAACTGATGGGCTTCCTCTGTCATCCACCACACCTGTAACTCACACAAGGAACTTGTGTGACAGAGGCGAGCCAAATCAATGGCTTCTGAGGCCTTGTTCCACCCTCATGTTCTTCTGAACCTGCTTCTTCCACCTCCACTCCCATCCATGCACTGCTCTCTTCCACGCACAGGCCCCAGCAGGTTTCTGATCACAACTGTCCGTGAGAAGCAGGACACTCATTTCTCAGTAGTGGCAGAATACTAAATCCCCTAAAACCATCCCCTGCAGCCATCTCTCTCTTTGGTTCACACTAGCATTGGTTACATGATGCGTGCTCACATAACACAATCTGCAAAAAGGTAGCCTGCAGCTGAGGAGCTAAGCAGGATGCTTACTTTCAGCACTTGCATTCTCATCATCGTCGTCATCATCATCATCTGTGTACAGGATCGGCCCGTCTGAGTCTGAGTCACTGCCATGGCTCTCTCTGCTACTTTCACTCTCAGGAGGGGCAGCAGTGTCAGCAGCCTCCTCCACTGGTTCAGAGTGTGCCCGGTCTGGAGCCTCCACTTCTCGGTCCTCTTTCGTAGCCAAGCTGTTAATTTGTAAGCAGACATGGTGATGCATTAATGCAAGCAGAACAGAACACAAATGGGAGACAGGTTGTATAAGCAAGCATGTAAAGTTCTGTTATTCAAACTAATACCTTTCTAAAAAATGTACATATGTAAAACATCTATAACATATGCAGATGTGTATATGTACTTATGTATGTATGTTAGGAAAAAGGATTCAAACATGCTGAAGTGAAATGCTGCAAAGACTGTATAAAGACAAATCCTAGTTGTTTTTTATTTCTTTTGGGATGGGACCAACAGCACATAAAAAAGAGAGAAAAAAGTTCATAAAGTTGGGGGTGAAAGGAGCAAGTTGGAGAGCAGACGGGAGTGCAAAGCTTTCTTTTCTGGAAGCCTAACCCCATTTATTGTAAATACAGTTTCACTGAAGTTGAGTCCAAAATGTTCATGACCATCACTGACAAACATGGAAATCAGCAGCAGACTGCCCTTTGCCTTGGGAAAATCTTTGTGTAAAAGAAGAGTAGAGCAAGGGGAGATGCAGCACAGGAATGTAATGCTGGCAAAGATGTACCAGCAAGAATTTAAAGGAAGGTCTCTAGGCTACTGGCATCTAGACTAAACTCTCTTAGGTTTATATAAAAGATGCTGTTTCTTGTGGCAGGGAAAAGATAAATCATTAAGCCAGTTTCACTTTGCTGCCAACCATATTGCTTAAAAAGTGTAATTACGCCCTTTCTCTTGACTAGTTTTTACAGTACCTGAGATTTAGACAAGCTACTAGGCAGTGACAGACCAAACACCCACTAATTGGAGTGTGAGACTTTCATTTTCAAGTGTGCAAGTAAATTCAGCCATTGAACTGAGAGCTTTAGCACTGAGATAGTTAATGAGATCCACAAAAAAAAGTAAACCGCCTTATAATTCAGCATCATTTCTTGTTTGCCTTTATGAGAGAGAAATAGAAGTGTCACCAGCTGCAAGCTGAACTGCTGACAGCAGTGTCAGCCAAATAATGATATAAGAGGCAGGTTATGAGCAATGACCTTCTGGGGAAACATGAGGTACTGCAGGTGAATGGCTCAAAGGCGATGGAAAGGAACAAATTGTGCTGTGATGCAACACAAACTATTACCAGTCAGCAGAAGAAACAGAAGAGATCCCTGTGTGCCTACAGTGTCCCTTGCAAAGAAATGTGGCTTCCTTGGCCTTATCAAGTGGGTCTTACCATTCACCCAGGACAGCAATACCGCCTTACCTTTCTGCGTTTTCTCCACTAGCATCTGGACTGCTGCCTAGGGCTGGACTGCTCAGACTCTCATCTGTGCCATGCTCAGTCTGGAGAAGGGGTTTAGGATCTGATCCAGGGCTGCATGGCCGTGCCACACAGCTGTCTGACACATCTTGGGCATCTGAGGAGACAGCAGGCTGACCAGCTGCAGCAGGGAAAGGAGGTGGAAGTGGAGGTGGAGGAGGGGCAGCGGTGGGAGGAGGGGGTACAACAAGCTTGCTCGATTGGTCTGCATCTTCTGTTTCAAAAGCTACTGTGGAAGGTTGTTCAGCCTTGGGTTTTTCTGTCTTCACTTCCAAACTGTTGGCTGTGGCACCTGAGGGGGAAGAGGCAGCCCCATCTGGTGCTGTTCGTGGGGTCGACTGTTTCCCAGGTTTTTTCTTGCCCCTGGGAGTCCCTGATGTGCCCAGTTTGCTGGAAGTCTCCTTAGAGGCTTTGGGATGAGATGATGTGGATGAAGGAGATGGTGATGAAGAAGACTTGGAGGCTGGTGTTTTTTTTGCATGAGAGGAACCAGCTAAAAGAAGAAAAGAAAAAAGGATTTTACAGTCTTTAAATTGTATGATTTTTGCATTGTATTTTCTGCATGGGTTGACTCGATATTTAAAGAAAGGAAAAAAATTACACTTGATACTTCTACGGTCCTTCATCTAAATGCTTGAGATGAGTAAATGTTGCAATTCCAATTTCACCTTTGCAGTGGTAAAAACGGAAATGATGAATACTTGCTAAAGAACAGTGGAAAGGATCGGCCTTACAAACTGGTGAGACTTTGTTTCGAGCAGTCTGCATGGGCCCACTACAACTTGCCTGGACATCATCTAAAAAGTCCACTACCTACTCCAAATGCATGTAGTGTCCTATGTAAAAAAAAATGCTCCCTGACAGAGAAAACTGCCTGACCTTTTCTAGCACATGAATTTTTGGTCTGAACAGTGGCAAAATGCTATGATTTTCCTTACGCTTTTCAGTGAACATCTGAGGACTGTTACAGGTATCAATCAATTCACAAAGTTATTGCAACTGGTGTGCTCCTACTTCATGGCAAACAGCAGACAGACAGCAAAACAAGATGTACTTTCAAGTCCAGCTGGATATATCCAAAAAACAGAGGCAGAAACCACTAATCTGACTCTGCACAGATGACCATCAGAAGGCAGGAGGCACTGAAGGCCTCCTGTAGGTACTGGAGGTCTTTGTCTTACCACAGACCAACTTGGGCAGTATTGAAAATGTAGAGAAACAAGGTTTTGACACTAGCTGTACAAGCTGGTCAGTGATGCTGCTGTTTAATCCTGTGATACTCACCCTACTGAAGCATATATGTATAATGCCCAAGTTCACAAGAGATTTCAGCTAGCCTGCTTGCTCATGTGCATTCCATCCTCTGAGCTGGGAGCTTCAAACTTCTGACTTTCATTTAAAAAGCAATAAAAATGACAAACATCTTACAGTTCAGTCCTTTTCATCAAAATGCATCCAACTCAAACACTTCTGCAGCAGTAAAATTGCATTAACCTCCAGAGAACAAATGAAAGCATTGTAAAGCTACACAGCAGCCTTGCAGCTAAGCTTACCGAGTAAAACAGAAAGCTGTAATAGAAATCTGCTGAAAGGCCTACTTTACTTATAAGCATTTAAATAAAAACAAAACCCTGGCAGATTAGGAGAGAATCAAAATACAGATACTGGCTATAGTAAGTTCATGATATAAAAATAGCTTTCACGGGGAGACTGTTCTCAATCTCCAAGATGAAAAGTAATTCAAAAGACACACTATACCATTCTCTTTTGTAGCTGAGTGTTATGGTTTATAAACACTTTGAGAGCCTTAAGGCTTTCAGTACATCTGGAAAAATCCATAGAAACTTCGGGCAAATCACTGTTCCTTTTCCTGCTGCAAGGTTGACTGTAAAGGGCAGCATCCTGAACCTACTGATACTGCACTAATCTTCCACATCGGGAATAAATCACTGATTTAACATACAAGCAAAACAAAATGAAGCAGAGAAATTGTATAGGCAGCAGTTCATAATTGCAGTGGAAAGAGGTGTTGGTTCCAACCTGCATATTATTTAGCAGAAACCTTACTGAGAAAGTGGATGGTAGCAAGAAAAGGCTCTGGTTCTGATCCAGCAAAGCACTTCAGTGCAGGCTGGAGGTCAACAGAACCATTTACATGCTTACACTTAAAATCTGCAGCATAATACAAATATACAGCCGCACAATTGTTGCTGGGAAAATGTCAAAAGATGTTTCCATTGTAAAAATCCTTACATTATTCTCAGAACCTTTCTGGACCTGCAATTAGAAACAGAAACTTGAAAGATTTCTCCCATGGAAAACCCCCCTACGCCTCCACATGGGTCAAAAGTGCTATTGCTGTTGTTGCTTTTGACTGGGCTGGCTGACAATTTTCTGTCATGCTTCTTTTTAAGTAGAAGATTTGAATTTTGATTAAATGAAAAATTCATGCCTTTTATTTGCCTTTTGGCACACATCCATGCCTACATTTAAGTCCCATTCTCCCAACTCCACTATTTCAGTTTGGAAACCTACTGTGTTGCCCTCAGGAGAGCCATGGCTCAGGTTGTTACTCATACTCCTCCTCTCCTTCACAGGACTGGATCACTGGCTGCATCATGTGGTCACTTTCACATGGATCTGACAAACCTATTCTACTAATACTGTTCCAAATCAGGTATACTTATTAAGTATTACCCCATTTTTAATGAACACAAATATTTTTAACGCTGGAAGAAATTACCAGTAAAATAAGGGATATGTGGATATATTTTATATCTGTATGGTCTCAAGCACTGCATGACATTTCAGCAGGGCTACTAAAAGACAAATCTGGAATCTGAATGTATTTTAATTTAAAAAGTCATATACCTGACAGCTTGTTACCACCCAATTGCATAAACACTGCTTTATGCGATGGGTTGTTTTATTTCTTAAAGGTCTGCTGTTCATTCACTTAGGAAGAACTGGGTTTTGCTGCTGCATGTGAAATAAAAGCAGCAAGTTCTGGATTTCCAAAATGTTTATTCTTGTAGTCATCTGATGTAGAAGGGACAGTTAATACCAAGTTAATGGGTATTTTATGGAAAAGTTATTATTGTAACTCTAGAAGTCTTGCAATGTTTTCAAACACTCCTCTTCTGTATGCTTCAAATACAAAACGTGCCAAAATGCACAAGCTACGAAGCAGCATATTTGCAGAGAAAACTGGAGGGACAGAAGGACTTTCAAAGATAGACAGAGGATTGAAAACACAAGGCTTGTTTAAGTTTGCCAATGCATATATGGAGTCCATTCATCACAATACCACTTGTGCTCAAGTCATATCTGGATTTTTTAATTTTGGTCACTGTCTACATTGGAACCATTCAAACTCGAGATCAATACCTTAAGAACACCTACCTTTAATCTTTAATCTAGCATCACTGCCGACGTTTAGTTTAGAAGTGTGATGGTAAATACATGTGGGATGTACCTGATGACTGACATTTTCCATTTCCAGTGTGTACTTAGAATCACAGCAAGCCATCAACTAGCTCAGGGAGACCTGCTCATTTCTAATGGTTGTAAGTCTTTACTTTTTTCCTTTTTTTTTTTTTTTTTTTTTGAGCTAAACCAACTGCTACTCAACAGTCTTTTAAGATGTCTTAATGGTTTTGTCCTTTACCTCTTTGTGATCTTGTAATACTGTCAAATTAATTGGAATAGGTGATATGTCCAGCAGAAAGTTATAGCAATAACAAAGTCATTTTACTTTGGAGCAACTCATGTGACAAAGAAGCCACCTTTTTTCCTGCTTGCTCTTTAGCAGTTCTCTGGGTCATTTCATTGCCAGCTTTCACACTTGAACTGAAAATTCAGTATTGTCCCTGATATGCTTGGTGTTGTGCACATATTCATTGAAAAGCACAGTGATCTGTCTGGGGTTGTCTGGGGTGTTTGTGGACAGGAGAACCAGAGCTCAGTGGGAAGCCAGCTAAAAGCATCCATGGCATGCTCTTTAGTAACACTGCTATGTACAAAGGCAGGAGTTGTCACAAGACCAAGCCAAGCACCCTCATGCACATGCACCCCCCGTAACTGGCGCTGCATGGGCAGTACTCACCAGCTTCTTGATTAGCACTGTGACCTGTCGGCTTGGGCGGTGGGAGAGGAGGCTGCTTAGCAGGACCCTTTCCCTTTTTTTTAGCATGAGGTGCTTCATTACCCTTATGGCTGGTGGTGGTGGAAGCAGCAATGGCATTTTTTGGTGGCAGTGGAGCTTTTTTAGGTTTAGGCTTAGGCTTGGGTAGTGGTGGAGCATGGGATGTCGGTATTTCTGGGCAGTGACCAGTAGTGCTCTCTATGGATAAGAAAGTGAACAGAAGCCAACTGACATAGACATACACCATGGAAATTTAACAGCAAGCCCCACAACAGTGACTCCTTTTGCTGTTTGAGCTCTTGGGAATCAGGAGAGACTTAATCTTCTGCCTCTTAAAGAAATATTACCTCAGAAAAAAAAAATACTTCCTGTCTCAGTTCAAGTCCTTCTCACAGAAGACATTTACCTGGAACTTCTCTCCATCTCATTTATTCTAGACCTACAAGGATCATCTTTATGTCCATTATCCTAAACCAGACTGCTGGCTGCAAACTAAACATGGGAAATGCCATTTACTTCTCCAACAAATTTCCTTGGCTTCTTTTCAACCCTACCCAACCCAAGATCAACAGGCTATAAAACTCAGATTCCTGTGAATCTGAATGTGAACAGGGCCATTCTGTCAGCCACGGGTTCAAATATGGTTACACAGCTGAAATTTTGCCCTGAGTCAACCCATTCTCCTAAGTTGCAGATTGCTTGCTGTTAGCAACTTACTCTGGGTAACTTCCTCAGAGTATTTCTACTCTTCAGAAACAGATGAAGCTATATCAGACAGGGTATCATTTGGCATGGGAATGCTCTTCTCTCCTGCAAGTTCTTTGGGTACTGTTACACGACTGCACTTTCAAGAACCAACAGTTCATCAGTCAACAGGAATTTGGACTTTATCTAGGTTGTGTTGTGCAATAGGAATGGCTCTGCAGAATGAAAGAGGTAGCACTGAGGACCCAGTGTCCACAGTGTGCATTCCAGGAGACTTGATCCTTGTACTGGCTTCAGGCCAGTTCAGGAAATTGCATGACTGGTGGTGGTGGGAGCAAAAGTTCCTGACTGCATCTTTGGGCTTAGTTTCATCCAAAAGAAACCTGGCTTATGTGTCCTGCAAACCAAAGAAGGGTAACTGGGGATGACCGGGAAATTCACTTCAAAATGCATGCCCAGTGCCAGCTGTAATGTTAATGTAGGTGAGCCATTTAGAGTCAAACATAAAATTTTGCAACATAATCACTGTGGTTGTAAGACTAGATGTCCCCACATGGGAATCTTTATCTATTCAATTACCCCAATTCTGTGCCCATTCAGTCTCAAAATAGCCTTCCCAAACCTTTCTGAAAAGGTATGTATGTTATGAAAGCAAGAACATACCATCAGAATCATATAGGATTTATTTGTATGTTACTAAAACCTAAAATGGTTGGGGAAGAAAGGAGACAAAATAAATGGACACTCCCATCTCTCTTCCTTCCTGTGTAAAAGATTCCCAAGAGATAAGCAGCACATTTTAATTTTAAGATTAGTAGATGAAAAGCAGATAATGTGTTGGACAACAAAGACATTTCCTCATCTCAGAAGCAAAGCTTTTCCAACCTCTGGCTTAAGGCTTGTTAACACAAACTCAGTGCATCACCCGCATTACTAGCAGCAACTTGCACACATCTCTTCATGAACCGAAGGAATGAACATTAACTGTCCAGTGTCTTCCTCCTTTATTTCCAGCCTATTATAGACTAATATAAATATAAAGTTTGGAAAAAACCATTTCACAGCAACCTTTTACAGTTTTCAAATAAATTCTTTCAAGCACAGATTCCTATACTGTCTCTTCGTTTTCCAGAGAACGACTCTGAATGGAGAAAGAAATATGTTTATTTGTTACATTTTGGTCTCCTCTTTTATAACAAAAATGTCTCCTTGTGAAATTCTACCTACCTTCATTTGAAGTTGGAAAGCTGATTTAATTCTGAAAAAGCAGGACATTTTAAAATTTGAATTCCATTAATAACAAACATGCCAAGAGAAGATATACTTTTGTATTTTGAAGATCTTGAAGGACATGACAATCCAAAATAATTTTAAGTGTAAACAATTCTTTGATACACCTTTTACTTATGGATCCAGAATGCTGTAATTATACTTACTAGTAAGAAAAAATTTAAAACTTGTGTACTTCTACACCATTACCATGTTTTGTTGCCAGTCACAGTAGTAGAAAAAATATTAAAAACAGAATTATAACCTAGTAAAAAGTAAGACACTACGCACCATATTCTAAAGTAATACAGTCAATCTACACTAAACTGTATAAGTGATTAAATAACGTATATCAGAATTTATCTTCTGATTCAGGAAAAAAGTACAAAAATATAATGAAATATAAGGCTAAAGCTTTACTTAGTTGCAAATAAACACATCTTAGTGACAATCATCTGATAATTTTGGATTTTTCTTTAGAGAAATAACTAAGAACTATAAATGAAGTATAACTATAACAAAAATTAGAGCCGTTCATTCCCATCAAAGATCTTGCTTTCAGATGTCAGTTGTGATTAAAACCGGTGATTTATACAACATTGATTTTAACAGAAATGCCTTGCCATCACTGAGATATCATCTTTATCTAGGACAGTTCTTTTCATACTGTTATGTACATTGTATCAAAGACTGGCAGACTCTGGCAAAGCAGCATCCTGTCTCCTCAGATAGTTACAGCTCTCATGAGTCTTGTCTGCCCCTTGATTAACTAATGCCCTGTTTTTGGCCTTGACCAGTGAATATTACTTTTGCTTACAGCCAGGATGAAAGCTGTGGTGAAGATGATTGCCTTTGACCGTATCGTTTTTCTTGGCATCTTATTAGCTTTATTATTTTTATCTTTGTTAGCCTCATCTTTTTTTCTCAGCGTCATTCTGATCTTGCCCAAACTACAGTTTCTTGTTCACTTGAGATACAGATTTCCAGTTCCTACCTGCCCAGTCCATTATACCAGCTTTTGCCAATGACAAGCCAAGTTTTGAAGTGAAACCAGTTTTCACTCTTTTTCTTCTGTTGCCCCTCAGGCTTTTGTGAATATTCACTGACTCTCCTCCCTCAAACTCCCCTCTACAGGGATGCCAAAGCTGACAATGTTTAGGCTGCCAGTATTGTGCTTGTTATCCTGGTCTGGTGTCCTCTGGTTTTTCAGTGTCTAACCATAGTGTCCTTTCTTTTACTGCAAGTCCATTGGAAGTTTCTGTGGTTTCCTGCATCTATGTAAGACACTATAATAATTTTCTGGTATATACAGAAACACTGTAGTAATACAAATAACTAATAACAACAACAGTGGCTTGATCTTGAACAGTGACAGGGATGGTCTGATGTCTGTAAATGCCTCCAGATACAATTATGTTGTAATTGTACCTCCCTAACATGATTCTGCTTGAATATGGACCCTTGGTCTTCATGCCTGGCTCTTTCTTTTGCCAAAACAAGGAGGCATCTGAATCAGTTCAGACCCCTCTATTTTTTCAATCCAATCCCCAAGGTACCTCAGTACCAGCTGCAACGTGTTTTTATTGTTGTTTTGTTTCTCAGTGTAGACATCTGCTCCACAAGAGCTGACCTTTTAACAAAAGGTCTCCAAAACACATCAGGGAGGATTTCTCCACTGCTGCCTTGATCAAGACATCTGCTGTAAAAGCAACCTGCCTATAATTTTTACTCTTTTATCAGGAAAGCAAAGCAAATGTTAGTTTCACCTCATTAAACATTTGGATCAATAGAATGTTTATGTTTAGAATAAATTTTCCAAAGGCCAGATTTTCAAGATACACACTTTGAGACCAGATTTTCTGATCTCAGAAATTGTGATTTGGGCCAGACTCTTAAGAAAGCTCTGTTCTCACGTGAACACTTAAGTGATGGCCAGAGTTAAAAAATTGTCAGTATATAACAGCTCTTGTGGGGGACTCACCAAGTCTCAGTGACTTTCAGGGAGATGCCACATGCACTGGAAAATCAGACTACTTATTTTGCAAACTAGAAGTGGGACTTCTGCAAACTCTGGACCAAGTGGACCTATGAAGATCCTGGGCATAGTTGCAGAAGCTAGTGGTAAAACACAAGACTTTTTTTCTTTACTTTTGTAAACTTCTAAGGAACAGAAGGCCAAAGGTTTTCTACCTGAGGGTTTTGTCATACAGTACTGGTATTTTTGTTTCTCCAGCTAGAGCAGCGTCATGAAGCTACCTCACAGAAAACCTGGAGTGCTGAAGCACAAGCATCTGATCTACATCAACTGCAAAGCACCCTTCTCCTGGAAGATGAACTGAACTCAGTGGAGCAAAGCTATGTAAAATGGAAGTTGGAAAATAATGTATGATTTGTTGTCTTTTGCAGGATGACTCCCTGCACAATGAAACTCAGTAAGAGTTTTGCAAATCATGATTTTTCTTTCCAGACTATGCAGAGAGCTGTGTTTTGATTAACCAAAACCCAGGAAGCTGTCATTCAGAAACATGGGACACAGAGCAAGACAAGGTGTCTTTTGTCACTTTTTGGACTCACTGATTGTGCTGATGCAGGTAGTCAACTCAGACAAATCTTTTCATAAACTCAGATTCAACCAGCTCCATTTTTTGTTCCTGTTACTGTTATTAAAGTTATGTTCAAGAAAAGACCCATTCTAATTGTTAGAAAGCTTCCTTTAATTTCCAGTCTAACTGTATTTCAAGCCACAGTTTATTCCTTTCTACTTGTGCCAGCATTGTCCTTTAGCCATGTTCTCTCCTGGCTATACACCAGCTTGCTACATTCATCAAGTGCACTCAGGTTCTCTCAGGCTCCGTTTTGCTAGACTGAACAAGAACAGCTGTCTCATGATGCTGTTTGCAGTTCTCTCTGCAGTTTTGAATTCATCTTTCTTGAAGATGGATGAGCAGATCTGCACGTCTACAAACTTCCAGATCTTACTGACTGTTTTCAACAGCACTCGTGCACAAGAGGTCTTGTAACAGAGACAGGGTAGAAAACCAGAGAGGGGAGAAAGGGACAGATATAACATCTGACCTAAAGCCACCATGTTCAGGTATTCTGCATTGGTTTCAAAATAAAAAGGGAAAAAACCCAACTGACTGTCATTTTACATTGTTAACTACCCAACCTATGTGTTAGAAGTAAGCTGTTCAAAAAAGAGAGAACATCTAGAATGTATTCACTGTCAGCAGCATACTTTTACCATTTCTTGATCTATGAGAGACTTGGAAGGTGAGAGGTATGTATATATTACCTTATTCTATATTCCCTTATACTTTCTGTAAAGATATGTCCAAATAATTGAACAGTTCATTCATTAAAATAATGTATACAATCTTAATTCTGGAGCCACATAAGGATATCTTTCTTATTTAAAAAAACAAAACCAAAACCAACCAACCAAACAAAAACAAAACAAAAAAACCAAAACCAAAAACAAAACACAAAAAAACCCAAACCAAACAAAAACAAACCCACCTGCTTTACAAGTCAGGAGCTTCCTCTGGCACTCAACTTTTGTGGGTGAAGGCCCATGCCTCTCAAGTCAGCCTAATGGCATGAGCCAGCCCAGCTGATATAATGGACAGGCTCAGCCCAAATACAGCTTTATATAGAGTAGTTTTCCTTTTAAGAAGACTTGGATGCAACCTCATTTACATAGTTCAGGTGATGAATCAAAGATATACTATTCTTAGAGGAACTGATTTTAGCCAGCAAATAACTCTGCTGGAGTGAGAGATTCTTAGGGAGTCAGGCAAAAAAACCCAAAACCTTTTATGTATGCTGCTCATATCAATGATCTGCAGAGCTCAGGAGTGTAGGAAGCCAGCTGAGGCACACAAGAGGGAGCAAAGCCTGCCTCATCTCTCACAGTGATTGGTTTGCAGGATTAATCCTCTGAGACAAAGCAGGCTCTTGTCTGAGACCCTGGGAGATAAGGGTTACTGTCTTAAATTCAACAAGTTTTGTTCTCCTTTGGGGAAAAAAAATAGACCTCTGAGAACAGGAATCTAAAAAATTTGACTTTGAAGACCATTCCTTGGTGGACAAACTAAAGTGTTAGTCAGCAACGATGCATGCTCATAAGACCAGAGTTTGTACCTCTAACCTTCTTTTTTGGTTACCCATAAGAAAAAGAAAAGTTTAAGATTTAAGGAGAGGGGACAAAAATGTAGAGAAAGGAACCTCTGAGCCCAACATACTAAGACCTGGAACCTTTGCCAGCTCTCATATGAGAGTTATCCTGTGGGGCAAAAAAATTATGCACAGGTAGCCCATTAATTTATTTGGAAACAGGACTACAAACTGTTTCCTTCGCTTAAAGACATGAGGAAACCTGAGAGGATCAATCTGCTATAAACAGTCCGGAACATTCCAGAAGCTTACGCTGCATGTCACCCACAAGACCTGCAGCACAGCTCTGGCTTCCTGAAATGCAATTATTTAGCAAAGCAGCACCTAATACACCTGACTGATGGTATGCAAAACAAAACTTACTACTTTTTTCCAACCATCTTGCTAATGGTTACTGAACGTTTCACTTCTTCAAGCCCAAGCTAACAATGAAATGTGGCAGCATCTACCAGAATCGTTAAAAGATTTAGCTTGCTGTGATAAAATGAGTAAGACCCAAGTTTAAAAACTGAACTCAGATACAAATTCAGGGTTCTCTACTACATCTGTGTTCCAGAGACATCTTGGGAGGGCAGAAAGCAGAAAAGCAGCTCTGACATAGTACCAGGAGGCTTTACAATGTGCAGCACGCATGCTGCATCACCGTGCTATGCCCCAATACCTAGGGAGGCAAACAGTGAATATTTGGACTCCTGTTCTACTGATGTGGCTTTCGGTCTTCTCCAACACTGCTGTAGGGAGTAGGAGGCAAAGAGACTCCTTGGATCCCCTTTGTGATGCTTATACCACACCTGGAACCTGGAGCTCTGGGGACTTCTGGGGGTGCTGCAGACTGGTGCCATGGGTCAGGAGCCCTGACACAGTGGTACAGTTCAGTCTGCTGCCCAGACAACCACGGTGTTCTTTGATATGCTACCTGTCTACTTGCTGCTCTGTATCCCTTGCAAGACTCACAGATAATAGCTACAGTTTAGCTCTTTATTTTCTGCAAAAGATGCTAGCAATTTTTCTTAGTCAAAACAAAAGAATTCAGAAGTCAGCCCAGTACAAACATAATGTGTGAATAAATTATCTCAGAAAATAAATTCTCCGGTTTCTCAACAACAAAGCTTTATCCATCAATTACCTGTTTTATGTAAAACTGTCACTAATTTCTTATCATTCTGCCATAAAGGAAAAAATTCCTTTTAAACACCCTGCTTGGATGACTGTCATCATTACTACAAATAGTAACACTTACACTATTAAATTGGCAAAGGGAACTTTTCACCAAATACAAAAGGCACCTGTGAGCTGACAGGCAGCAGATGGGTACACAGTTTACAATATTCCACATTCCACACAGCATGTTGCTGCCAATTCTCACCATATTATCACAATTTGCCTATATTGCTTGTTTTTTTTTAAGATTCTGGTTCCAGCAGTCATCATAGATATGAGAAGGCCATTTTCAAGACCTGCTTGAACAACAGAGCAAGTAAAGACCACCATCATTTCATAAGAGCATTATAAAATAACTTCCTAAGTTTCAGGGGCTGAGATGCATTTTTGGAACACTTTGATTCAGTCGGAGTTGGAACTGCAGCACAGTGTGCTACTAAGCAGCAGGAATTAATCTGTTTTCAGGTCTTCCAAACATGGAAATATGTCTTGGTATATCTCTTCCTTCAAGATTTACACATAAGAGTTGATGACTTTAGGAAGCCTAACATTAGCCTTACTAGAGATGAACTCCTTGCAGCCATTACTCCTGATTGTCAGCTATTATTCACTCCTGTCTCAGTTCTCATGATGGAGGGTTGTGATCTGAAGCACCAGCATGTTTTATGGTCTTAGCAGAAGACACTGAGTTAGGTATGTGTGTGCTTCAGCTCTGATTTTGATGCTCTGTGAGCATAAGCAAACCTCTTCCTGCCAGTGGGTGTGTGTATAATGCTTACCTACTGCATCTGCCATAAAAAAATCACCAAGGACTAATCTGCAGGTGAGACATATCTGTGAGATGGAGTGGGCCTTACTCTTACAACTGAGTTTAACAGGTTGGCTCACCTTCTTGCTTAATGTGCTATAAAGAATAACTGAAGTATATTCACAATGACTACCTGCTGAGCTGTATTGGGTCTCCACAGTGTAACATGGTTTCTGATGTGTGGAATTGCTCCTTAAACAGGAAAGTGTTTTGCATCTTCTGTATGCTCAGACTGACATTCTATGAAGCCTAGAATACCAGGTTTGCTCATTTTTTGTTTTCCTTCTCCCTCCTCCATATATTCTTCATTTTCTGAGAGGGACTGGAGTGATTGCTACACATTCTTCTGTATTGAGTGTACTCCTGTACAGCAATAATTTTTAATTTCTCTCTGTAAGGTCAACACAATGTATAAGGAGTGCAGAGTCTAATTTGAAATAGATATTGAACCTTTCCTGCTTCACTGGAGTTCTACATTCTGCAAAGTCAGCTAGAGGGGATTTCAACATAGTCAAAAGTGTGTATTTCTCAAATAAACTGTACCTTAGAAAAAGTTCCAAAAACCTAACATTTCCAAAAGGCTGTATTTAATGGTGCATAAAATAATAAGTGGTCTGATCTAACCTAAAAGTTAAATTGAACCATTTTAAAGGCGTTTTCCATGACTTTTATAACTCTTTTCCCCTGACCCAATACACATCTGGTTCTAGTTGGCACCAAAAGAGATGTATTTAAATGTCATGACAAAAGCTAATCTTGTATTTCTGTCTTTTTGGGAGACAGGAAGTACTAGAAATCTCATAAGAAAGGCTGTTCTCCTTGGACATCTAGCCACTTTTTACAGTCAAGTGATTTACGTAGCTCAGAGAAGAATTCAAATTTTTGTGTTAGCCAAACTGACCCTCTCAACCTCCAGAGGCTCATTCATCACTAGGTAGAGTTTAACAGAAGACATTGAAAAGGCTGCTCAATCTAACAGCCAGCCAAGAAGGTCTTGACTTTTTGCATCCTTGCTCTTTCCTCGAGGAAAATCCAATAAATGGAATAGTATTTAAAAACACTTTTTGACAGGCAAAATAAGTGGTGCATTATTCAAGATGGTCAAGAAAATAAAAGTGGTCCAAATACTGCAGGGAGCTTTTCAAAAGCACAAATACTATCTTGCACCTACTAGCTTTCCACTGTTCTTTTTCTTGCCAACTTGAATTGTCACACAACTGATTTAACAGCTGGCTAAAACAGTAGCCAGGTAGTAGCAGTAAGGGAGAGGTATTACATCAGGCTACTGCAGTCTTTGCATTTAAATGCAGATCCTACATGTCTTTGAAACTGTATACTTCCACACTTATCTTTACATTTCCTTTATGAGTCAAACTCCTGTTACCAAAGTAGATCTGAGAAAAGGTAACAGAATTAACATGGACCCTGGGACTGCTAAATATTTAGCAGTATTTACTACAATTCATCCATAGAAAACCCTGTAGTTATAAAATACATTTTCCATAAATAGCCTAGGTTCAGTTTGAGGGAGTGATATAGCCCCTTGAATGTTTCTGCTAGACTGCAGGTGTTTAAGATTCAATGAAAACCAACAGGAATGAGTTGCTGAAGTTACTTTCAAAATTATACATGGTTTTCAAATGGGTTAAACGCTTTTGAACGTTCAACCCATGAGCCACTTCTACAATGCTATTGCAAGGTGATGCTTATGCACTCAGTGTGTTCTTTCGTAAGAGGAAAATCTGAAACCAAAGCTTGCCCAAGGCTACAAGGACACTGAATTTAGAAATCAAACATCCCTGCACGCATTTTCATGCTCAGACCATGCTTCTCTTTATGACCTTACTATAGGCACAGTAAAAGGCATGCCTACCAGTGATGAAATACTGTTGTTTCGCAAGTCTTATTCTCTCAGTGGATTCTGCTGGCATCCTTGTGGCAGTACAGAACTCACAGCATGTATTGGTGCTAATGGAAGAACACGTTAATATTTAAAGTAGCAAAAAAACCCCTGATTTGTGAAGAATGCATTAATTTACCTTTTTGATCTTCTTTTTTTCCTTCCGATGCTGATGCTTTCTCTGATAAAGTACCATTATTTCCACTAGCTTTTACCACATTTTCTTCCTGTATGGTTTCTTCACCAATGGCTATGGTGTGTCCATTTGAAGTTTCAAAATTTACTGTTACATCACCATCTGAAATGAAAATTAAAAAGCTATTGCCTAACTGCTTACTTAGCACCCACTGACAACACGTGGCACCCCTCTGCTTTCAAGATCCCGTGGAAGTAAAGTAGAAAGACTTTCTGAAATGTAAAAGGCTGCAGATCTGCTCTGAAAAGTAACTGTAAAGAAACTCTATAAGCTTCCATATTCTTTGGGTGGACATCTCTGCAGTAATGGTCTTGGAAATCCATATTGGTTTTCAGGTACAGCTTTGTGGCTGTACACATAAGTATCCTGTTCTCTCCCTCCCAATATGTGCCAAAAATGGACAATTAGGGGGCAGATTTGCAGGACTACCATGGTGCATCCCAGTAGGTAAATCAGCCAGGAATTCAGACAGAAGTTCTCAGAACGTATGTGCCCAGTTAATTAACAAAATAGTTCACAAAAACATTATCCAGTCTTAAAAATCAAGGTGAAGTCTTTCTGTATCATATATCATACCATTATTAAATTCTGAAAATTAAATTCTTTCCCTGATGATACTTTACTCACTTACGCAGACTACCTCAGCTTGAGGGGTTTTTTTAATCCTGAAAAAAACTTCTTTCTATTCCCTATTTGTCTTTATATTCCTGAAAAGTGCTACATACATACTCTTGCTCACTTACAGCTTTCTCTGTTCCATGCATTTTAAAGTTGCTGCTGATTTTCTTCTCTGGTAATTTCTTTCTACAGGATCCTCTTACTGTCAATCCAAAAATTATGCAAATCTACAGGGCATCTCTTCTCCATGGATTCTTCACTAACTGTGGTGATTCCACTGTGGCGATTCCACTCCTCTTCCTTGCTGTGTGTTACCAAACCTGGATGTTTGCACTTCCCTGGTTTCAACAAAATTATGCAGCCTCTTTCCTTCTACCTTGGGCGCTCCATGGGTTAAGATGATTGTTTCACTGTAATCCACACACTAACAGCCACCTGATGTGTAAAAAGTAAGTTCTTCCTTCCTAACCTGATCTCTTTCACTATATCTGACAGTTGCACTTACCTTACTGCAACATTCAGTTTCTTCAGCTTCTCTCTTCCAAATATTCTTAAATCCACTCTCTCCTGTCTCCATATGTGACAGTGCCACCTCTTATTCATGTTTTGGTTCTGCAAACACCTCCTGCCTCCAAGTGGCACTTGCCACTTTCCACTTCGTTCTTTCTCATCCCACGTGAAACACTGTCACTTTTTCACACTTCTTACCTCTCACATTCCAAGACTCCATATAATTTCCTCATTTAGTTTTCACCTTCACAGTCATTACTTCTAACTACCTTCACACTCCTCAATCACCTTCTTTCCTACCTCTCCATTTTTAGCACCTTCAAACCAATCCCATATTCTTTCAAAACGGTCCTTAAAAATTATTATTTTCATCAGACGTGAAGCACAATGTAATGAAGGTAACACAGATCAGATTGATACAGGATGAAGAGGTTGTTCATCTTTACATCCTTTTCTCTCTTTCTCAATCTCTGTAAGAAAATCCAGAGTCCCATGCCCTTTTAAGGATGGAAGAGAGGGCCAAGGACACCTGTGACCAAAGTACTCATACTTTTGGTACAAATGATAGATTTATGTTCAGACTGTAACCAACATGAGAAATTAACACATTTCACTAAGTGAAACGCAATTTACAACCTTGCAATTTATTCCCAATAAATGCAATTTACAACCCTCAATGGACAAAGTCACACAGCTCCCCAGTAAAGCATGTGGCAAAACCCACAACAAATTCCCAGATGGACAAATTGAGGTATGGAGAGTTTACATGTCTTGCTTTAAGACAAAGACAGCAGAGACAAGTGCAGAATCCAGCTATGCTGAATGTCATAGCCTGGTAATTAGCAAAACACTGTACAGGCAAGTGATGCCACATTCCAACAAACAAGCCCTTTACTTCTGAATATTTATGTGTACGATACAAAGCATACACACTGATACTTTTCTGATTCTTCAGATCAGAAAGAATAATAGAATTTCTAGGAGAAAAATATTTTGGGAAAACATGGAGTTCTTGGACTGCTTGATAAAATGACAAACGGTTTAAATTTTAAGCTACAGAAGATTATTTTACTCACTTGACTTTTATTTAATCTAGATTTATAGAAGATGAAGAATATTAGAAAGAATAGCACTAGAAACATAATCAGATGTAGCACAGAGGTATTAACCTTGGCTTACTCATGTTTTTCAAAATACAAATTCTGTCTAATACCAGTTACTAAACTCAAACCATTTTGAAACAAGTGATGTTTTATGCTTGTGCCATTTGTGAATGTGGTCTGTGTGATAGTAGTGGGATCCATACTGGTACTTTTTGATACCTGAAATGGATTAAAATTAATTATATTGATTTGTTTGGGGTTCCAAAACCTCTAATTTTTCAGTCAAAATTTCTCATTTTATACTTCAGTCGCTTTAGACAGCAGACCTTGACTCAAAAAATAGGTTTATTATTACTTCAAAAAAATTCTGGCAAACTAGGAATCACAAAAGTCACATTATTCACAGGGACTATTAAAATACTTCAGGATATGACAGAAGTCAGCTGGTGTAGCTCTTTGTCAGCTGGCCCAAATTACCTCTCCCACTCCTCAGTTTGTCTCCTCATACCTATTTATACTACATGGAAACAAGGCAATAGTGGCTTTATCATATGTGTTTAGTGCTTAGTAGCTAAATTCTAGTTAATGTGTTATCATATCACCTTGCTCAGGCATTTCCTTCAGCACTCCCCTTCTTATCAGCTCCTCTCTGCTTTGTCTTGTCGAAATCTTCCTTTCCAACACTAAAGAAAAAGCACAGTTAAGAATAGATTTATTCTCATACTGTTGATGCTTGTGAAAAAGAAAATTAGAAAAATATTTTTATTTTATAGAAACCCTGAGAAATCTGATTCCTCTGATTCTGCAGGAGAAGTGGTCCGGGTTTTCATGAACAGTCTCTGAAAATATCATCCCACAGTTTCAGGCACAGAAAGTGGGGACTTGTATGATCGGATATCTTCAACTGAGCAAGGCTCCTTGAAGCTTCTTTTACAGTCAGTGGAAAAAGGTACTTCCAGAGTGATATTGAACTCATCCTAGAATAGTCATTTAGCATGTAAAATCACCTCTTTCCCACTGACTGGGCAGACTAGCTCAGCTAGAGATACCTCCATCTGCTTTGTAGAAGTGTTGAGTTGGGAGAGACAAATCCTGCTCAGAGCAAGCAGCTCACAGAGAAGCCTTTGTGACATGCAAACTGTTTCAAAGGAGAAAAAACCCCAACAAAAACAATCTTCAACAGAAGCCAGAAAGTTGTGTTCTAAAAGGAAATAACATCCTCATCAATGCTGGTTGGCTTTCATGGAAAAAAATGCAGCATCCTGTTTTTAGGTTAAAAAAAAAAAAAAAAGCAGCATACAACACATACACACACACAAAAGACTGTGACATGAAGCATTTTAATTATTATGTTTATTTCCCATGGGAAAAAATGCTAAATAGTTTTACAGGGAAAAGAATTTACAGATGTCAAAACAGAATAGCTCCACACTGCAGCCCAGCCCCAAACCAATACAGTGATCTGGGAGATCACTGTAACGATCCATGGGACCATGGTGCATGGCCCACAGAATGTGAGCATCACTTGTAAAATCTCATCTTCAATGTTAGGAAAAGCTAGCCTCCCATCCTGATTCTGTGTACATTTGGACATCAAAATCCAAGTGATGTTTGCAGCTCAAGCTGAGGGCATGTGGTGAAGCTTCAGCCGTGCTGGACTTCATCCTATTAATGCTATGGGATAGGGTTATTTATCTCATCAACTAATTCAAACACTCTCTAGGGTCAGTCTAATTGCTTTTATGCAGATTAAATACTGCAAGAAGTATTATCAATCTCATTTTTACCAGCCCATTTGGAGTGAACACAGTGAAGTGACAGCTCCTGAGAAAGCAAGGAGAGGGCAGTTCAGCTCTTCTCAGAAAGCTACGCTCCATGCATGGCAAAACATCTCTCCCAGCAGCAGGTAACTCCAGCTGCTGACACAACCAGGCTGGCTGACCTCAGATACCTGAAGGCATCACTGCTTGCATCTTCCCACTCCCCTTCTCTGCCAGGGAAGGGGATGGTTAAACAGAATCATAGAATGGTTTGGGTTGGAAAGGACCTAGTTCCAATCCTCCTGCCATAGGCAAGGCCACCTTCCACTAGACGAGACTGCTCAAAGCCACATCCAACCTTGCCTTGAACAGCTACAAGGATGGGGCATCCACAACTTCTTCGGGCAACCTGTTTCAGCACCTCACCACCCTCACAGTAAAGATTTTCTTCCTAATATCTAATCTAAATCTGCCCTCTTTCATTTTAAATACGTTACCCCTTGTCCTACCATCACACACACCTGTAAAAAGCTTCTCAGATTCTGCACTTCCCAAAATTTATAGCACCAGGTTTATTTCTCACACTACGAGGTTAAGGAATACAGCAACTGCTAAACACAGGATGCATTTCCATGTCAAAATAGCACCAATTCCTGGCAGAAGAGCTGGAGGCAGTAAACGTTTTGACCAGCCCAGTTCAAGCTACTCATGCCTGTGAGATCAAGAGCTCACAAATGCAAACAGTACTGGCTCAAGAACATGTAAGTTGGCATTAAGTCTGTGTCTATATGCTCAAGTACTTTGTGGGGTCTGTCCATTAAAGGTCAAACCTCCGTGGCACTCAAACTGCATTTGACAATATAAAGGAACCCTTGAGTGTGGCTACAGACTCTCAGTATAAGCCAGCCTACTTGGTGAGAGTGTGGTAGCAGCAATTCTCATCAGGTTAGACTGCCTTGGGTCCCAAACCTAAATTACTCACAAGCTCTTCCAGTTTTTCCCCACTATTTTTTAAGGTATATGCTTTGCAACTGTGTCACGCATTGGTACAGGAGCGTGCCCTAGTCTTGCAAAGAGTTTTTTTCATGTAGGGAAACACTCAGTCCCACAAAGTCTCTTTTAGAAGAGATTGAGAGTCATGAAGACAGATGACTACATGGGCAGGCATGGATGGAGTGTCTTAGTCTTTCTAGAAGGCAGATGTATTCACAAGCAGAGTGAAATCTCCTTTGACAGAGACCCCAGCAATGAACACTTTATGCATATATTTTATACTTATTTTCTTGCTGGCAATATAAAAAAATCTTTTATTATTATTTCAGCATTACAAGTATAATTTAATTACTACCATTTTTTCTCTCTGCTTCTTTTTTAGAACTGTTGTCTTGGTGACAATGAAATGAAATGATCTCTCATATATCTGTGGGACAGTCCAAAGACTCTTGAAAACAATAATTCTTCTTTCATGAAGCTTAAGAATATCGAATCAGACACCCCCCACCATCAATGTGTCTCTCTAGTTTTCAGGATTTTTTTTTGGTTCTATAAAACTCAATTAACAACTGTATTGAATTAATTATCAAGGAAAATGTCAATCGGCATTAAAAGACATGAACTCCTTATACTTTTACTGAAAGACCTCAAAGCACTTTATAAATTGCGTAGGTTTCTTAACATCCCTGAGACATAACTATCTCCATTTCACAGATTAGAAAATTTGTGAACAGATAAGAAGCTTAAGCCCCAGCCCTCCATCCTCTAAAATGCTAGCCATGAGTGGTATTTTTATTAAAACTGATTAAGCTCAATTAATTCAGCTTGAAAAGATAATTTATTTTAAATACTATTTGGCCCATGGAAAAAAAAACCACAAACCACTAGAAATTATGCTAGTATTCACTATGAGTATCATAATTTTAATTCCTATGAAGAAAAAGGCAGAATTTTAATTTAAATCAAAGTGGCCAAAAGTATGTCCCACTGTATAAGAGGAATGAGTAGCCTGTCAACTTCGGAACTTATACTGGGTGCTATTTAGGCAGCATGGACTCATCATTATAATTTATTGATGATTACAGACTTTAGACTAGGCAATATATTTCACATTTACACAGACAAGTGTATTGTACCATCTGCACACCCAGCAACCATCATTCAAACATCTTCTTCCCTCCCTTCCCATCCCCTCAAAAGAGACTGCTTAGTGATGTTCAGCAGCTACAGACCTCAGGCAGTCTTAAAACCTGTTCTCTGACTCAAAGAGTGCTGTGAGATTCTGGATATTTTCCAGTATTTAATTTTGTTCTTCTAAGAGAAGCTTGAGATAATTCCACTTATTAATTTTTCTCTGACCTAGTAAGAGCTAAAATTGCCTTCTGCTCCCTGTCTGCATATACTCTTGCAGTGAAGCTTTGAAGTGACATCTACTTTGTGCCAAGACACAAACTGCTGCTTTCCTTTCCTTCACAGCAAAACATTGCAGAGAAGAGAAACCCTTGAGATGATACTATTTTCTGTTTAGTTTTACTTAATTTTGGAAGCCCTCTAGGCAAAAAGCATACAACCAGTACCCAGATAACAGACTTTCTGAGATGAAGCATGGAAAATATGTCGATAAAAGAAAAAATTCCAACTATCATTCCCACATCAGCACAGATACTAACATCTAACATCTTAACCTCCATTCTTTTTTGATGTTTGTGGTATTTGCTGTTTATGAACATCTTTCAGTTGCTCATAAGACAAAAAGCACTCCATGGTACATGGCCTGGCAAGGCTGTAGCAAGAACCTATTTTAAAAAGCCTATTGAAAACCCCAGAGAAAGCTGTAAGAGTTCTTTGCAACAGCCCACATTCTGTCTTAGAAGAAAACTCATTCTTCAGCTGCATACAGATTTATCAAGTTGTAGCCCTGTTAAGAGAACAGGCAATAAATGAGGATCATCATGCTCTCTCCCATGGTCTCAGGCCAGGAAATGGGCTTCCTGCATGTAAGATGCGCACACACATACACACAGTCCCCCTTTGGGAATGTAAATACACCTCTGATCAAGTAGTCTGAGGAAGAGGATATCCTGTAGAATTTTTATTTTGTATGGATGTCTTCCCATTTCTTTCTCAAGTCAAATAAGCAAGTTTCTTCTCCTGTGTCAGTAAGCACGCAGCAAGGGACAACTTGCCATGTAAATGCGTCATCTCAGCCTCCACTGGTCCTCGGTCTATTTCCTCAAGAAACACAGGAAAACCTAATTTTTTCCTCACTGAAATTATCATCTGAGGCAGGATGAATGCAATCCAAACTACTTTGCATTTTAAATTCCAGCCTCACACGGAGCACATACACAAACAAAAGTGACCCCATACACGGTTTAAAAGCAAATTACTATCTTGAGGGACCACACCATCATAAACAAGACCAACAAATTAAGTACTAGCAAGTAACTAAGGAGGCACTTTTGAAAATGTTGATCTTAATTTCTTTGTGCTTAATTTCCTCCTTCTGTAAAAGAAATAGGAACACATATTTTGCCTTGGTATTATAAGAATGTGTCATTCTTGTAAGACTGCCAAGGATCAAACTGTTCTTCTATATGTAAAATACCGTGCCTAAATAATCCCTGCCATCTAACAAGCTCAAAAGAGCTCTGCAAAATCATCATAACGTTTCCTACTATTTGCCACCAAAGGGCCACAGACATACCTGCTGATGTTTCTCTGAATTTGTCACTTGTCTTCTTCTTCCGCCATTTCCAAGGTTTAAAGATTTTGCCAATGTTGGAGAGTTTGCCCTTCCTCTTGAAGGGGGGAGTTTGGGATCCTGGGGCTGGTCCTTCCGAGTTAGCAATTGAAGCCTTGTCCAAACCATCAACTGTATAAAGAAGAGAAGTAAAGGTAACTGAAGGATGGAAAACAAAATGGTACCCAAGAGCTAAACACCTCCACTGTCAGATTGCAGCAAGGCTTTTTTCCTGTTCTGGAAGTGAGCCAAGGGGCATCTGATCTCAGACTGCAGTCATCAGCCAGTCTCCACCCACCCACCCCAGCTTGCCCTGGGCTTCACTGCTTCTCAGCATCTCAGCTGCAGCTGTCCAGAACTTGCTTCTCGTGATGCACAACTGGCGCATTTGCACAGTCCTGTGGTTTTCCATCACTACTGGAGAATTTCTTTCAACATGTATTTGGGTGACTTTCTCCTTGTCCCTGGTAAAGTTGAATAACTAGCTGTCATTATATAGAAAACAAAACCCTTTTAATGTGAAAACATAAACTATTTTTTGGTGAAACGATTCCTTCCCTAAACAAGCTCTAAAGTTAGCTGTTCTGGTAGTGGAATGGAAACAGGTCTGTTCGATATCCCTGATAATCTCTCATTCACAGTGCAGCCTGCCATGAGTCAGGCTTCTTATTAACAAAACGTATTTAACAATAAGCTTTTGAACCGTAGACAGAATTTAAAGAAGGATTACTTTTCTGCAAAAACATACTGACTGATATGAAAGCCAATATTTATCATCAATGGCTGCAACATCAAGTTTTGTGAACCAAACTAAGACTCATTGCACAATATGCCATAGCATACAGTTAAAATAAATTTCCTGGAAATTTCTGAGACATCTACTATCATTTATTTCTATTTAAGAACTAAGATTTCTTAGAGTGTTCCATTTGTAGTCCTGCAAAGACTTCAAATGTCCTGAATTTTACTCATGTGAGCACTGAAGTAAGTGCAATTACTTACAGACATAAAATTAATAATGGGCTTAACGGTTTGTGGCATACAGGCACTGTAATTGCTTTCATTCATCTAAACATTCTAATTATAGCCAATTCGGAACAGAGTTGATACTACTCTGAACAGTAGTAATGATAATCATAGATCATTAAATCAGAAATTCTATTGAAAGAAAGAAGTATCACTGTTCCCATTTTACAGATGGAAACTATGAGGCACAGAATTGTTAAGTGCTTAATTCTGTGTTTGCCAAATGGCTTCCTGAATCCTGGTCCTGTGTCCTAGCTGCTAAAAAGATATATATTCAGCCACATAACATCATGGTACAATCACATTCTGTTTCTCAGAGAAATGGCATTTAATGAGTCCTATATTTGTCCTAGGCTTTAGATTGATCCAGGATGCTAAAAAAAAAAAAATCTTTTCTGTGAGAAAGCTGATGTAATGCAAACAGAGTCCAAGGAACTTTATTTCCAGTGTTTTGAAACAAAGTATGGGAAGAAAGATCCATTGTATAACTTCACTGAAGTCTATGAAGTTAAAAACCAGAGATAAATTTGTATGAGAACGATAGCATTTAAATCAATAAATCTGAACAAGTTATGCCATAAAATTTAATAAATTCTGTGCTGCCTGAGAGATGGAAAACTTCTCCAGGACATATTACTGTTAGTCAGATACAACATGGTTTAAAGCTTTTCTTCGTTTCCTTTGGGTATTGTCTGGTCCATAACATGGAGATCAGATAGAAGAAAGGCACGCAGATGGACTTTGAATGTAAACCACTAAGATTTTGCTAAGAACTCGGCTATGTTTACCCCTTGTAGGAGTACAAAATCCCAGCTTCCTCACTTGTGTGCCCTAGACGACAAGTCAATCTTTAGGGTGGTGTAAGCTAAAACTCCCTTAAAATAAACCAGATGCCCCTCTACACACCCTGAGAGGCCAGGCAAGAGGTGAGGGATGAGGAGAACACCAAAGCTAGTGAGCAGCTCTGTAGAAAGAGAGACGCAAAAGACAGCAGAAGGAGCCCTGCAGGGATGCCTTACCTGAAATTGGGGATTGCACTTTTGTCTGGGCTTACAGACACTGTCTATTGGAGTGCAGTCCCCTGTGGAATACAGAAACTCTGCTGGAAACTGCGGATCTAAGGGAGAAGTACATTTACTTGAAGGGTACTTACAAAGACAAGAGAGTAAAATTTATCTTGGCAATTCCAGTTGACATAACAAGGAGCGAGGCCACAGCTTGCAACTAGGAAAAGTCAGGTGAGAGGTAAGAAAAACACTTCCAGGAGGTGGGTGGTACAGAACTGGAACAGGTCCTGGGAGGCTTTGGAGGCTCAGCCAGGCAAGCCTCTAAAGCTCTTTCTGGGGCTGACCTCACCTACTCTTAGGAACAGTCCTGCTCTGAGTGAGGGCCTGGACCAAGTGACCTCCTGAGGTCCCTCCCGTGGATGCTAAGGGATGCAGACAGACATGGTTTCTCAGTGAAATCCACACTAGTAAATCCAAACAATCAAAAGTGAAGTGGTGAAGAAAAGAGACTAGGATCTGCTGGCTGTAGAGTTCTGTCCTGGGACAGCAGCCAAGCATGATGTCACTGGCAGAAGCAGTCCATCAGCTCAGTAGAGTGAGAGGCTACCCACTCCTTGAGGCAGCAGGACAAAACCCATGTTCTTGTCTCCAATAGCTTAAAAAGGCTGGGCTACTGGTGTGAAGAGCCTGCATCCTGGTGACAGACAGCACAGTCTTACAAACACTGTAACACTGATATTTTCAAATCCTTCTGAGTCATGGAGTGCAGTGTACTGCAGGTCACAAAAGCCTCATCTAGATTTCTTCCTCCTGTGTCTACCAACAGAAATGGAGGAGGATTAGGGCTCCAATAGCTCCCCACAGAGAGATATGGATTTGCATCAGTCCCTGTTCTGCCCTCTGCTGAAAACATAACTCCAAAATAATGATACTAGCTACAGAAATCTGTCTGCTTCAAATGAGCTAAGATGTGAAACTCATGGGGAATAATTCTGTTTAGGAAGACTGAAACTTTTGAAAACAAACTTCAACATTAACTCCTTCTGACAATAAAAGATGAGGAGTTGATTTATAAACCAAGTTCAACAAATGTTCACAACTGGGAATTTACTGATCTACTGGCACCTTTTACCATTTCTTTCTTTTGAAAAAAGGACCCAAATATGTATCTGGCAAGGAGGAATAAGCATAGCCAAGTATCACAGTCTGATTTTAGAAATAATGTAAGATAAAGTAACATTTCTAGGAAAAAGAACTTGTTTATATTCAAAAGCACATATATTACATGTATTACAAGTGTATTCACAAGGTAACACATTTTACCAATTAATAAACTACTAAGAAAAAACCCCACAATTTCAGCAATAAAGTTTCAGAGCATTTATGGAAAAATCTTTACAAAAGCTATTGCTCCTCTTCTTTGAAACACTCAGCAGGAAATTGATGTTTAAGATTTACCCTATTTGCTTTATAGGTCATGTACTAGTTAAGAATAAAGCAGTGTATTTTTTCACCTCAGAGTTTTCACCTCAGAGAGTTTATCTACATTCTATTAATCATTATAAATGTTATACATACTCATTGATATGAAAAGAAACATCTTAGCTTCCCAAGATTTAGAGAAGCCTGGTCACTTGTGTTATTCTTTTATTTCTACAGTGTCTTGAAGTGCCTTCTTCCCACATCTCCAAAAAGCCAGTGAGTCCTTCATTGCCTTCAATATTCTTCATTATTAAGTTAGACAATAGGACTTTTGACTATACTACCTACATCATTTATCCAGTCCTTTACCCTAAGTGAAGATTTTACAGCTGAAGGATACACAATGTGTACATAAGGATAAGAAGAAGTACATGACTCATGCATGTTGATGTCACACAAAGAGGAGATCTCGTTGTAAAAGACCAACAACAATGGTAACGGAGACACTGCAAAGCCAAATCATGCTGCATGGCCCACAAGTTAGATGATTAGTTTAATTAGATTATTCTTGTCATAAAGACTCTTGAGATCCTGGAGTAAAAAACACTTAGGACTACATAGAAGAAAAGAAATACGACAGAATTTAGGTGCGTATGTCAGAAGTTTTGCTATTAGGAGTCTGAGAAATTCTCATCAGATGCTCCCTGACTCTGAAAGTACAGGTGACATTCAGACTATCCGAAGTCTCTGCCTCTCTCTATGCAAACAGCATCCCACACCGAAATTTCACAGCAGAGTGGTTTTGGTGATGAAGGCAGCCTGGGAAGTTTCTTCCTCCACACTTTCCTTCCTGACCCTAAAAAAAACATGCTGTCCCTTCAGTTGTAAAAATACAGCTGTTCATTGGGCTTCATTGCAAGTAAATCTCTGAATGATCAAGACCAAAACCACCTCCCCCTTTCCTTTTTTAAAAGGTTATTTTAAATCTGGGCTGTTTCAGTGATTAAGTCTTCAGGACAGTCCTACAAAAAACACTTGCAGTGTCAGGGTTGGGCGAGGAGCTGTGGCACAGGGTGGGAGCTGGGGACTGGACTGGGCAGACAGCCTAAAGAAGCTCTGCTGTCGCAACCAGGGTAGCAGGACATTCCAGCCATGGACCCAACAGTGCTGCAAAGCCTGGCATGTGCTTGAACCTGGATGAGCCCACAAAATAAAGCATGCTTTTACCCTAGAGCATTCACAGGGTGGGTGGAAGATTTGGGGTTTTCCCCCTTCCTGAATAAATAGTATTGAAATATGTTACCCTTTACTTGAACCTGAATACTAAAAACAAAAAGTATTACAGGATTGTAATGCTATTAAACCTTCTGAACAACTACTCAGAAGTATTTTTCCTTTCTTCTGTCTCTCCACTCCTCTCACCAGCACCCTTCTACAGAACTGATCTAATCCTGCTGGAGCACTGGGATATACATTTAAGGGATTCTTTCTTACATCAGGGTTGCTAAGTACAAGACAGTACTAGAAGAGCTACAAGTTCTCTTTCCCCTCTGTACCACACCTTTCATGCTGCATTTCCTTCTTCCACCCACATCTCCCAAGGCTCACCCACCTGCACTGCAATTCCGCTCTGAATCCTTGTCATACAGCAAGGTATAGAATGGCCAGATGAATGAA